GTCTCCACTGGGCCATCTTCTTCAACTTGTTTCTCTACTATTCAGAGCAAAATGTGCCTACCACCAAGCAATCAGCAAGGCAGAGAGATGGACACAAATTTTATCTCTGGCTATCTAGATACATAATGTGCTTGATTTTACCTTAAACTGCAAAGCCCAAAATATTTATTATACAGCCCTTTACAGAAAAAGTTTCCTAATTCTTGGGCTATAGCATAATCTATTAGAGATGAAAGTATAGAGTAATTAAACGATCTGGGTTGAATTCTGAGTTCTCTCATTATTGGTGTGACCTTAGGAAAATTACTTAACCTCTCTGAGCCTATTTCATAATCTATAAAGTGTTAACAAATACAGTGCCTGTTTCATTGCTTGCTTGTATGTGTGCATACCCATCAGATAATGTTAGGAAATTTACCAGGGGGTACATGTAATAAAGATGTTCAGATGTAACACCTGAAACAAAATATACTGTGTGCCTTCTTTGGGCAGGTTCTTTGCTAAGCCTTCACAAAGTCCATATCTAGAAGGAAGGTAATTTGTGGAGTTTATTAAATTTTATATTAGTATATATTTTCAGTACATAACAATTACAGAGTTCAATTTGTGTGTGTGTGGGTCCCAGGAGTTGAACTTAGGACCACACGCTTGCCAGGCAGACAGTGCATTACTGAGCTATGTCCCCAATCCCCACATCTCAATTCTTTTTTCCCTTTCCTTTCAGTCCCTTTCATTTTTCAAGAATCGGATTCATTTATTTATGTCATCATAACGTTAATTAGCCTATTTACAGATTAACAACCAGTTGAGTAGGCCAAAAAACAAAGAAACACATAAGACAATTACACTCAAGGTATACTTTTAGATACACTTTCCATTCTGGATAACAATACAACTTCTTTCTCTGTCTTCCTATTACCTTTTATTTTGAAATTCATATATTTTTTCATGTAAGAGAAACCATATACTATTTAAGCTTATATGACTGATTTACTTCATTTAACATGAAGGTCTCAAAATGAAGGCAATCCAGCGTATAAATTGCTCTCACAGGACACAGTTATGGGACAGTGGTAAACATGGCCAACTCCCTCTTCGTAAAGTTAGAAAAGATTTCGCAGAGCAAAGATGAGTTGGCAGACAGATAAAAAGATTATTCTTGGGGCTGGGGATTTAGCTCAGCGGCATAAGCACCTGCCTTGCAAGCAGGCAGTTGTGAGTTCGATCCCCAGTACCGATTAAAAAAAAAAAAGATCATTCTTGGCTGACAGAAGTGCATGTACAGGGTATTGAAGGCATAAAGGAAACTACACATTCTCACAGTGCATCAGCAAAAGTCAGGCCTTGAGTAGTGTGATGTGTTTGGAAGCTGAGATTGAAACGGCACGCAGTGCCTGTCCTACATCCCAAAAACTGGAGCTTTTATCCAGCAGATAATGGAGTCACTGAAAGATGACAAGAAACGCCCAAAAAAGGATCAAGATCACAATATGGGGTCTAGAAAGACCACTCTGGCTCAGTGTAGAAAGCAAATTAAGTTACACTGGGGAAGCTGCAGTTAGCGTAAGAGAAAAAAAGTACCACTCTGAGTCAAGGCAGTGGTTGTGAGAATAGAGGCAGCTATTCATTCAGAAGGTAGAATCAGAAGAAACAAGCCACCCAAGAAGGTGCCAAATTTTTGTCTGAGGCAAGTAAAGGCACAGCTACCATGGGAGAGGCTGGGGGCGGGGGTGGAGGGAGCCTCTCAAAGTTCAGTCCACCGAAAGGGTTTCTCAGAACGAGGGGCATGCCTGCAGCCCTTTGCCACAGTTACATTTGGGAAACTGGGCTTTTGCTAAGTCCACCACGGCATTTCCTGGGTGGGGCTTCCAGCCCGGCCAGATGGGTGTCGAGACAGTGGCTTTTTCTTTCCCTTCTGTTCACTTACCATGACTTTTAGATGAGTTTGCAGATGTGACACAGGAAACCCTACCTATGATTAATGCCGTTTTCAAGCCGGAAGCCAAGAGTGGGGAAAGCAGCCCTGGCACGCGGCCAGCCTCGGTGAGAGCATTTCTGCAGAACTCCAAAGCTGCTGTGAGATTTCATTCTGCCAAAGTCTAACTCCCAGTTTTTTCTGCTATTACTGTGAATTATTTTTGAGAAAAATGAAACCATTCTGGGTTTTTCATATTTTTTCATATTTCATTTCTTAGATGAACCTAGGATTTCATAGCTTATAAAGTGCTTTCACAGCCATGAGGACTTTTTTTCCACCAAGATAGGGATATTCTCCCTATGAAACCAGATCTGTAAATGTAAATGGCTTTATTAAAAGCCCTTAGCTAGAAAGTGCCAAAACCATTCACCCAGATCTGATAAACAAAACAACAGGAAAATGGAAGGCTTGTACATTTATGGTAAGCATGTAAATTGTTCCTGCTTGGTCAATATTTATTAAATATGGTTTGGTTACCTTTTGGTTCCACAGTTTAACTTCTGGTTCTCTTTTTTGTTTTTTGAGACAGAGTAGGCCAGGCTGGCCTTGAAAGTTTCAATCCTCCTGCCTCAGCCCAACTTTTGAGCCTCTGTTTTAAACTGAGCTCACCCTGGAAAGCAGAAGTTAAAATAAAAACTTGCAGGCAGGGAGCCAATTTGCAGCTCAAAGATGGGAAGAATGAAAAGGCAATTACATTACCAAGCTAGACACCATGTTATGCAACAAGAGTGTGTTCCTGCTGCAATAAAGAAAAGCCAGACATTTATTCACAGGATCTCACCTTACATTGGTCAAAGGTCAATACACAAAATGTTAACTTTTTTTTTTTGGTATCAGGGATCAAATTCACAACCTCATGCTTGCCAAGCAGGCATTTATGCTGTTGAGCTAAATCCCCAGCCCCTTGTTAATTCTCATACTTCCAGGTTTCTCCAGTGAATTCCGAGAGATGTTCCCAAAATGCTTAACTGCTTACTAAAAATAAAAAGATTAGGGGAGGTACTGGGAGCTAGATAGCACTGGAGCATAGATCTCCAAAGTCATGCATAATTTCAGCATCTGGTGTCTAGGGCTCTATAGTTATGGAATTAGGGAGAATAGGTTCCAGACCCTTCCAGACCCTTGACAATGGGGAGAGGAACCTGGCAAAAGATTAAAAAAATGTGTTTTAGTTCTCTGCCATACTCAATAACACAAGGTTCACAAAATATCTGACATCCTGCTGGACAGTGCGCTCAATGGCTAGAGGACAGCAGAGACCATTCTCAGTTTCAAGACCAAAGACAGAAAGTTAAATAATTACCAAAAATCAGTACTTTTCCAATTGAGTGGACATAGCATTCATCTGAAACTTGCTACAAATTTAAACTAGTGGGTCCCACCCCCTAAATTTCAATTGGAATGTGGAGAGCTACATTTATAAGCCTACATTTGCCTGCATTAAGGTAATTCTATGTAGGCAATCCTGAACCACACCTGAGAAACACTGCTCTCACCCTAAATCCTGAGCCCTGTGAAGGGAAAATGTATCTCATTTATCCCTGGCTACCTCTCTGATACATATCACAACACAGGGGCCAGAAAACTGCCCACTGAGTTATTCAAAACTCGTCCTCCAAAGAGCTTCTATTTCACAGGGGTCAGGTAAAATCTGTGGTCTCTGCACCTTCAGAGTTCTAGAACTTCATTTTTATTTGGGCAGATATATCCAGGAAAGGATTCACAATCAGAAACTCAGTAGAAGCTAAGGGGTAAACCACAAAGTAAAGAGCTTATTCACATGAAGTAATTACAAATCAATTGGCTAATAATATATTTTCTTCTAACGAAGTCCACTATAAAAGTAAATTACTACCAGGCTGTTGTTTGGTAAACATGAAGTCTAAGTAAATGTAACTTGAAGAATTTTAGGCTTAAATTGTTACTATGCAACACAAGTTATGAATATATACATATATATGTAAATATGGAAGCACTGAATAACCTAAAAAGCACTATATAAATGTAAGGTATTATTAACATTATAATATCAGAAAATATACTGGAGGCATTATATCCAGCATACATAACCTCTGGAGTAAGAAACAGGGATCTAACTTTATTCATAACGTTACACAAATTATTGCATTTCCCTGAGCCTGTTTCCTGCCCAGTAAAATAGAACTAATGATATGCCTGTCCTTGTTCTGCGAGAAATAAATGAGACTATGCAAAGTCTTGACACAGTATCCTGCGTTTAATTCGTTCTCAATATTTTATTAGTTTTCAGGCCCGTTCTGCTGACAAGCTCTAATATCAGACAGACTACTGTAATATTGTAATACTTACTAGTTACACAGCGTGAGTATAATGAGAAAAACACAAACACGGTGGCTGGAAGCATCGGGCAGTCTCTGCGACGCATTTTAGGTGGTCATCTTACCTATCTAAGCCTTAGTTTTCACAGCGTAGACAGTGCCTGCCAACACTGCTCATTTGTTGATTTCCTTTTTTTCATTCACCGTTACTTATTAAATGCCCACAACACAGAGCTAATTTTATCTACTCAAAACCTGGAAATGCAGATAGAGCTTACTGTCTTAAAGGTTTCAAAAGAGATAACGGAAGCGAAGTTTATTATGGATCTCTGGAAAGACTGACAGAAAAAAGCGCTAGTGTAACTCCGCTCGCCCGTCCCCTCGGAAGCTAGGACTTTGTGACCTTCCAGCTGTCTGCTGAATATCTCACTGACAGTGAAGACAGGGGAAAGTCATAAAGAAACAAAAGAGTAACCCTCCTTTATAGACGAAGAAAAGCTGAACAATGAACCCGTCTGGATTTGACTTGCGGGAGTGGACTTAAACACATAATAAACGCCTGCGCAGAAAGCCGAAACTCACAGAAAGGCAAAAGACGCCTAAGAGTGGAGGGGAGGAGAACTTCTCACTGCGCATGCGCAATTGGATTTTCAACCGACGTAAATCCCTATTGGGTCGGAAACCTGACGTACTCTACGTACAAACGTAAGGACGGCGGTGGAGAAAAAAAACCTACGCGTGTTCTGTCACGTGAGCAGCGGGAGGGTGGTTGGCTCCTCCCTCCCCAAAATGGCGTCCTTGCTGCAATCCGAGCGAGTTCTCTATCTAGTCCAGGGAGAAAAGAAGGTTCGGGCCCCGCTCTCACAGCTCTACTTCTGCCGCTACTGTAGCGAGTTGCGGTCGCTGGAATGTGTGTCTCACGAGGTAATGTAGTCGTCTGTGGGAGGACTGTTGGGGGGGGGTTTCATCCTAGTCACCGCTAGTGGGAGGAAGTTCCCTGGGTAGAGGGCGGGCAGTTTTTCCTAGTTTACCGATTGGCTTTTCCTGCTGTCACTCAGCTTTGCTTGCGATTTAATTTGCTTATGACCTGTCATTTGGAAAGGAAGTCCGGGTGGGGTAAAACGAGTCTTGTTTCTCTAGGGCCCTATGCTTGGACAAATTTGACTCAGAGCCTTGCTGTCTCTTGATGGACTGGGGAGAAGGCTGGGAATGCTTAGTTAAGGCCACTTGGGTGAGCTAACCCGTTGTTCCAGAATGGAGAGGAGAGGAGCAGGCATTCCTGTTCATGGCCTTACCCCCTTGGAAAGTTCTGCCGGTTTGGCCAGAAACCGGCCCATCATCAAACTGCTTGCCCTGATTCCTGTCTCAGGCCAAGATCTACAGCAAGGAAGAGATATGGGTGGGGCGAGTTAAGTGAAAAACGTTTAAAATATAGTCTGTGGTGGAAACTCAAAGAGTTATATTTACGATGCTTTTAAGGGTACCTATGCCATTCTTTTTTTTTTTTTTTTTTTTTTTTTTTTTTGTCCTTTTCCTTTTTATCGGTACCGGGGATCAAACTCACGACTGCCTGCTTGCAAGGCAGGCGCTTATGCCGCTGAGCTAAATCCCCAGTCCCCAGCCTATGCCATTCTTCACAGACACAAGTGGTAGTTGGAATAGGATCACAGTCAGAAAAAAATAACACCCCCCAAACTTGCACAGCATTCTACGTGAGTTGTTTATTCAGTAAGCTTTGGGGATTAAAAGATGGGTAAAACAAAACTTGCTATTGGATAATTCAGGTAAAGAAAAACTTGTTAGGAACATTTATTCATACATGTGCTTTACATAATCTTCAGACCAGTGCAAGTGGATGCTTTAAGTTAGAAACAGATAACATGTTTGCTGCAGGCCACATAGTAATTTAAGAGTGGGTGGTAAGATCAGGACTTAAACTTAGCCTGACGTAGAGAATTGTACACAAGATCCCGCAACTGTTAAAATGCATATTGAAAGTCCTATAGTATAGACCATTTTACACATTAATAATTATTTTATTGGAGAGACTTCTAGACAAAGCAGTTAATACAAGAAAATCAATGCCGTATTTTTGTATGTCATATATATGATTTTTCTTATATTCTCTTATTATCAGCTTGTGTACATTGCGTTGGCATCACTTAAATGTTTCCCTGTTCCAGCCCCACCCCAGCACTCACTAGATCATATTTCCTATGGTTGGCACTAGGAAACTCAGTCTTCATGATCTCTAAGTGTCTCTTCAGCTAGACAGTGGTGGCAAACCTATAGCACACGTCCCACAGCAAGCTATTTGTTATCATTGATACCTCTACAAGGTTCCTCTCATCACTAAGCATACTTGAGATGCAGAAACCATGAGAGTTTGGAAAAGGGTGAGGCAGTGCATGAAGCTCTAATGGAGAATCTGAATCTGAAGCTGCACGCGAAGGGACAAGCAGAATTTGAATGGGGGTCAAGGAGGCGTGAATTGTATTTTGCCTTTTTGTATGTGTCAGTGTGAATGTAGTTAGCAGTACTGTTTTATATTAAGTAGCAACTTTATTGATGTTTACAAATTGGTCCTGTTTGTAGATGTTGATAAAAGATACGGTTCCTATCATAGTGTTTATGTTCAAGTGAATGTCATTCCCTCTCTTAGTGTGCTATAATTGTTAAATAGGATCCACATGCATTGAAGAAAATTATGCAGACTTTTAAAAATACAATAAATTTAATTTTTAAACTGTGATACAAGACTCTCCTGTAGTTTAATATTGCCTTTAAAAATCTCTTAACTGGTTGGTTATAGTTGACTTTGTAAATACTAATTTTTGCTTAATAAATGTTACTTAAATGATGAGAAAACTTACTTTTAAAAACCTCATTTAACAATTAAAGGGATGGCCCAGTTTGCCAGTGAATAAAACAGAGCTAGAGAGGATATTTGATCACAGCAATACAGTTGGATTAAACTATCTGTTTGTTAGGTTATCATGACATACTTCATTTAGAAACTTTCAATTATTGTTATAGACAGCTTTTTTCACACCTAACACAAATCATAACGAAAGGGAACAGAAAATAATCAGAACGGAAAAAATATAAGGGCTTTAAAAAACCCAGAGAGTTAAAAGGAAAAAAAAAAAAGGTTAATCCCAACACTCGGGAGGCTGAGACAGGAGGATCACCATGAGTTCGAGGCCAGCTGGACTATATGGTAAGTTCAAGACCTGCCTGAATTACATAGCAAGACCCTGTCTAAAAAAAAAGAGAGAGAGAGAGAAAGAGACAGGTGAGTAAAGAAACCTGAGCAGTCCAGGTTTTTTCTTCAGATCACTGACTTCTTACTTGCTGAATTATAACATTTTAAAGTTTGTTATTTGATATTTATATGAACTAAGTTTAGTTTTTCTTTTTCTGATTTTTTATTTACTACTAGGTGGACTCCCATTATTGTCCCAGTTGCTTAGAAAATATGCCATCAGCTGAAGCCAAACTAAAAAAGAATAGGTAAGAATAGAACCATTTATTCTGTTTTCTTCAACTATTTTTAAAATATCTAGTAAGAGCCAGGGGTTTAGCTCAGCAGCACAAGTATCTGCCTGGTCATGAGTATGATTCCTGACACACACACACAAAAAAAATCTAGGAAATTAGTTTTCTTTTTTAAACAGTTCCCCCCCCCACATTTTTTAGTATCACCATGGCCTATAATGAAATGTCCTTTTGTTCTATTTTAGAGTAGTTTTATACTTAAGAATTATTTTTGAAGATAGTATAGAGAGTTCTCACACCCAGTCTCATATTGTGTGTCTCCTTAGATTTTGCTTGGCTATGATTATTAGAATATCTTTGATTTTCACAATCTTGAAAGTTTGGACCAGTTGGGGTCTGTGTGATGTTTTCCTCATGTTACTGGAGATATATATTGAGGAGAAGGACCACAGAAGAAAAAGTGCCATCTCTCATCACATTGCATCAAGGATAAATACTGTCAGTATGATTTATCACTGTGGAAGTTAACCTGGACTAGAGTGAGCTAGCATTTGTCTTGTTTCCCTACCCTAATGCTATTCCTCCTCCCCACCACTGTACTGTACTATCTAAAAAGAAAATCACCATCACAGCCCACACCTGAAAGGTAAAGAGAGTTAGGCTTCCCTCCCGTTAAAAGCTGTCTGCATAACTATTTAGGCTTTCCTTGCATGCAAGATCCAGTTCTTTATTTTTTATTTTATTTACTTAAAAAGACTATGGACTTGGGGCTGGGGATTTAGCTCAGCGGCATAAGCACCTGCCTTGCAAGCAGGCAGTCTTGAGTTCGATCCCTGGTATCCATAAAAATGAAAAAGACCAAAAACAATAAAAAAATAAAAAAGACTATGGACTCATGACTATTTATACTTTGAGTTATGATTCCATAGAGAGAGAAATTTTTCCCCTGAATATGTTCAAGATGTGGCCATGGAGAGTTCTTTCATTTAGCTTGTGTATCCCTTCTACATACCCCTCTCATTGGGCTAGAGAGAATATTCTCCTGTTCCATAGTGTTAGTGCCTTCCTACTAGTACTTCAGAGTATTACAAGCTCAGCTTGTGTGTTTTTCTGCCTCAGAATTAACTGTTTCTGAAAGGAGCCTTGCTTCCTTTTATTGGAGATTCTGCTAGAGGTGCCCAACACTACTGAATGCCTTTTGGTCTTTACTTTGATATGAGAGTCCTTTTGCTACCAGTACATTCCTGTACTTCTTGGGTGTGAGCCACTGTTTTCTTTCCTCCCTCAGGAAAAAGCCTGTGATAATGAGATTCTGTTTTGTATGCTTTCCACATGTTAATTTTAACATTTAACCCTCAAAATATATCTATGAGGTAGATACTATTATCCTTCCTTGAGAAAAATATCCAGATAGCAAAATATCACAAGTAATGGAAGTAGGGCAAGACAGCATATGCAATCTTGTGGTAGAAGAGTTAAAAGCAAGAGGGCACAAGGACCCTTAAAGAGAAATGTTGGCTGACAGCAGGAAGAGTGGTGGCTAAGATGACATCTGAAAGCCATGTCACTGTGCTGCTTCTGAACTGCTGCAGTCTGGTAGCATTGTCTGGAATCTGTTTCAGATTTCTGGCACAGCAGGTAAGCAGTTACTTACCAAATCTAGTTTCACAGCTTCTTTCATTGATTCTGTTTTTCATTATAAAATTGATTTGTCCTCTAAAGAACTAAGCTGTGACATTTATATTTTTCTTAGAAACATTCTTGATCTCTGTGAAACATAAAGAATCTAGAATAGTAAACACCACCTGATAACAATGACTTCTTTGCAATAAGATTGGGTCACTCTCGTTCTTTATGGACTACAGTGATGATTCCATATTTTTAAAAATAATAAACATATAAGAGATTCAAAATGTTGAAACTGACAAGAAGCCCCTGACAAATATTTTTTTTTTCTTGAGAAACACTTGTTTATATTTGTTCTCTTAAATCTTTGACTTCTGGAACAATAGTCTAGCTGCATTAAAGAAAATAATTATACAGACTATAATTATACAGTAGCAGTACTTGCCTGATAGATATTGTTGAATGAGTGAATGGCTGTGTTTGTGCTGTTATAGATGCGCCAATTGCTTTGACTGTCCTGGCTGCATGCACACCCTCTCCACTCGGGCAACAAGCATCTCCACACAGCTTCCAGATGACCCAGCCAAAACCACCATGAAGAAAGCCTACTACTTGGCCTGTGGATTTTGTCGCTGGACATCTAGAGATGTGGGCATGGCAGACAAATCCGTAGGTAAGTAGGGGGAACTTGAACATGAGATGTGCAACTGTTAGAGTGTGATTGTTCGTAGCCAATTATTTCTGTAACCAGTTGGGGTAATAGGAGCTAAATGTGTTGTTGTTTTCTATTTGCCCCTATCCTATACATCATGGAGCACGATATTTCTTCTGAGACAATCTAATATTATTTAGTTTTCTTAGGAGTTGGTGAATTAGCATTACAGATAGTGTTCTACTTTCATAGAATCAGACTGTTTATTTTTTTGTTGTCATTTTGGTTTGGTTTGGTTGTTTTGGTGATTTTTGTTTTTTGTGTTTTTTTGGTAGCAGGGATTGAACTCACGACCTGGTACTTGGCAAGCAGGCACTTATGCCACTGAGCTAAACCCCTGGCCCTGAATCAGACTATTTTTAAAAAATGAATATTCCCAATGCTGAAACACAACATGGACAAAATTAAAAGACAAAAGTTACAAACTAAAAAAAATAGACTAAAGATTAATAACCAAAACTGAGGAACCCTTGTAAATCAATTAGTAAGGGAAAAAACTCAGGAAAACAGGGAAGAATTATGAGCAGCAACTCTCATAACAGAATAAAAATGCATATATGCACGAAGTTATGTTCAAACTCAGTCATGATAAGGCATATTAAAGCTTCATATCTTTGGAAAAATTTTTTAAATCTGATTAGTTGTAAATCTGACTGACTATAACTGAAGAAAGCAGTTTGGCATATATTAAAATTTTAAATTGCTTTTATCCTTCGGCCCAGAAGTTCCACGTTCAGCTCTATATTAGAATATCCTAGAGCATCCAAACATGCAACTAGCAAATATACGTGTGTGTGTGTGTGTGTGTGTGTGTGTACTTGTACACAGAGTCCAGTAAAAGAATGTGTATGTGGGGCCAGGGATTTAGTTCAGCATAAGCACCTTCTTGGCAAACGCAAGGCTGTGAGTTCAATCCCCAGTACCAAAAAAAAAAAAAAAAAAAAATATGTACACACACTTCAGGAAAAGAAAAACTTGTATAAATGTTTTAATACTAAATTTATTGAGACAGGAAATAAATATGAATGAAATTTTTTTCAATTTAACTGTTTTTAAAATTATAGATCCTTGATTCTATGATGTTTGCATTTGATTACAATACCTGAGCTCTTAATTATTCTTCTTACTTTGTATATTGAGTTGGTAAAATAAAATACATGCTTTAAAAAAATTAAACAACTATATCTTAGGTCTTTAAAAATGCTTGCTGGTGGGTCAGTATCACCTGAAATTTCATTTAATTTTTTCTGGGTGTGCTGAGGATCAAACTCAGGGCCCTGGAAACGTTAGGCAAGCACTCTGCCCCTGAACTACTCCCACAGTCCTTGTAATTTATATTAGAAAAATTGTATAACGTCTTTTTAGATTACCACTAAACATTTACATTTGTTTTGTTTTATTTTGTCTTGTTTCGCATATTTTAACATCAGTGTGGCAGGTAATTTAGAATTTGTCAAAGAGTTTCAAGTTTAATGTCAAAAACAACCTCAAAGTGGCATGATAAGACTCAGGAAAAATATGTTTTTATTTATTTTCCTTTTATCTACTAAAAGAAACAAAGCCCAGAAAACGAGATAAATGTCTCAGTTTGGTCCTTTGTAAGTAGATGTTTTAATGCCTTTTGGAGAATTTATGATTATCAGAACTTAAAAAACTTGTGATGGCTTCTGGAAACCTATCTTTTCTGGGGCATTTTCCCTTCCCCTCACCTCTAAGATATCTTGACAAAGATAATTCACTTCACTTCCTCCATAATGAATCTTAGGAAGTCCTGAAACTACTTTAGTTAAAGCTCTTTGCTTACGTGCGTGTCCATAATGTGCAGAAAAAAATGTCATGTGATCATGGTCAGTCTCCCAAATTGCCATGTAGAATAAATTACCAACTCTGAAGATACAGTTAGATAAAATATGCAGACTTAAAAATATGCTTCAGAATTACCTTAAGGCAGTCTTAAAATTTTCATTCGGTAAAACTTGGGAATGAATCCTCACTCCCCTTTGCAGTCAGTGCCCCCCCACCCTCCTGTATTGAAAGATGTTATTTAAGCCATTAAAGATGTTTTAATTATATAAACAATATATTTATGTACTTATCACCCAGCTTAAGAATTAAAATACAACCAATACAGTTTCAAGCCCTCACGTAGCCTTCCTCCTACTATACCCCTTTTTCTGTCTGACCCAGCCCCCCGTACTGAATTTAATGTACTGATGTCCATGCGTGTCTTTGTACTTCTCCACATCTGTATGTAGCCTCCAGGAATGTTCAGTGTTAAGCAACTGGTAGCATACTGAATATTATCTTGCTATCAGTTTTCTTTCAACATTGTTTCCCATTCATAGTGGGTCAGGCATGGCTCACCACAGTATACTTAATCAGCAGCCACGCCTGGCTTCTTTGTCTTTTGTTTTGTTTTGTTTCTCGGTAAAACTTGGGAATGAATCCTCACTCCCCTGTGCCGTCAGTGCCCCCCACCCTCCTGCTCCTGCCCCTTCACTACACTGACAGATTTTCTGTCACTGTAATTTTTACCTTTAGAACTTTATGTAATTGGAGTCTTGTAACACATTGTCCTTTTTTGTGTAGCTTCTTTCTTTTTAGGATGATTTTACATTTCATCCATGTTTTTGCTTTACTTTGTTTTTATTGTTTCTTTTGTGTGACTATTTCATGATTTGTTTGGGCATGTGGGTTAATTTTTAATTTAAAACTTAAATATATAAAACTGCTGTGAACATTTACCTATGAATTTTATATAAATACGTTTTTTCTTAAGGAAATATCTAGGAGTAGAATTTGTAGGCCATAGGATAAATGTATGTTTAACTTAACTAGAAGCTGCCAAACAATTTTTTTTCTTTTCTTTTCTTTTTTTTTTTTTTTTTTTTGTGGTACCCAGGATGGAACTCATGACCTCACACTTGCCAGGCAGGCGCTTATACCGCTGAGCTAAATCCCTGGCCCTTGCCAAACAATTTTTAAAGTGACTCTTTTGGAGTTTTAATGAGAATAATAGGAAAATTCTAATCCTTTGGCAACCCTTAATGTTTCAGTCTTTCATTTTGACCTTCCTGCACTTGTATGATAGTGGTTGTGGCTTTATATTTGTGACAAAGTGTCTAATCTTTTGCCCATTTTTTAACTGTTTATTATTTTTGGATCTTCTCATTGAGTTGGAATAGTTCTGTATTTGGGATGTAAGTCCTTTGTGGCATATTTTTAAAATTTTTTTTTTAGTCTTTAACTTGCCTTTTCATTTTCCAAACAGTATCTGTTGAAGAACGCAAGTTTTCAATTTTGGTGAAATTCATTTTATCAGTTTTATAGTTTGTGCTTTGTGTGTGTTGTTGAGCAAACATCAGGCTAACACAGGGTCATTAGGATTTACCCCTGGATCTTCTTCTAAATGTGATAGAGTTTTAGATCAAGTCTGTTGTCCATTTCAGAGTGAGTTTTGCATATGTTGTGAGATATGGATGGAGGGGGTTTTTTCCAATGTAGATATCCAGTGTTGCAGCATCATGTGTTGAAAGTTTTCATTATGATTTTAGTTTCAACCCTCTTGAATAATCTTTCCTTTGATTATTAATGCCAAGTGTTAATTCTGTAAAAAATTACCTAGGGTCACAGAACATAGGACCCTTGGCAAACTTTTTAGGTACTGAGTGCCCAAACTGTAACCCAAAGCCCACTCATTTGTCCCAAAGTGCCACCACTGCAATTAACCCTGAGTACTGAGTTATTAGTTTAGAAAAAATAACTGTTACCTGACACTCGGCTGCCGAGGTGACATGGCTTATGTAGTGACAAAGAAGGTTCTGTGTGCCCTGCCACATGGCATGTTATAGGTTCGCCACCACTGAGGTAGCATTTATATAGTGTTGCAGATAAGAATAGGCGCGCCTCCCGGGTATTGAGGCACATACCTGTAAAACCCAGCACTCAGGAGGCAGCTGGATCACTATGAGCTTGAGGCCAACCTGGGCTATATAGTAAGTTCAAGACCAGCCTGAACTGCATAGTGAGATCCTGTCACCAAAAAACAAGAACAAAAGCCAAAAGAATAGGGGCCGTGGAGTCAAACTGCTTGTTTAAGTTTGACTCCTAAGTCTACCATTTATACTCCATGCATTTTGGGGCAGGTTATTTAGCAGCTGTAAGCCTCAGTTGTTCATAAGTTCCTACAAAAATAGAAAACAATATTAATAATTTTCAAGTGCCCAATATAGAGACCATGCGTACACTGGTGGTGGAAGTAATCATGATCAGTATCACCATCATCATACTTAAAGAAAAAATGTTATTTTGAATATGCTGATCTATAGAATTTCTATTATATTTTTCTTGGAAATTCTATGATTTTATGTTTTCAACGGTTTTTTGTGTGTGTGTTCGGCCTACAGATGACCTGTTTTTATGAAAATAAGGTGATCAAATTATGAAAAGTCTTATTTAATGTTCCATTATTTTCTAGCTAGTGGTGGTTGGCAAGAACCAGAAAATCCTCACACACAACGGGTAAGTAAAGGATCATATGACAGAGAGGATAAAATAAGATATTGTAAAACACTGAGGTTCCTCCAATTTGTCAGTGGATGTAAGCTATACCTAGAAATCCAGAATGTGTGTTTTTTTATCTGTTACACATAGAAAGTGTTTCTCATTATTTTGGGTTGGATGGAGTTGGGTTGGGTTTGGTATGATTTGATTTTTTGAGACAAAGCCAACTATGTAGTCAAGGCCAGCCTGGAACTCATGGTGATCCCCCTGCATCTGCCCCCAGAGTGCTGGGATTATAGGCATGGACCACCATGACCAGTGTAGAAGGTTTCTCCTGGTAAGATATTAAATCACATTATCATATCTTTGCCATTGACTTAATAGAAAAATCTTGGTATAGCTTTTTCCTATATTTGAATTATATGTTAAAAAAAGGAAAGAAAAGAATTTTTGTTTTTCACACACTGATGAATTAAGGTTCCATTTGTTCACAAATACTCTCAAATACACACATGTAGACATTTCAACCCTGGAATCACTAAGATATAGAAAGTACTGTTGAACTCAGTAATAATTGCTTATAGAATCATGACTTGAGTATCTTTTAGTTCATAATTAAATTGATCTCTGCAATATGTTCTGTAGCCAATTGTTTACTCTTTACTTGAACTAGAATACGAGAAAGATGAACTGTTTTAGAGCCAAAGAATGTACTATCAGAGTGCAGAGAAATTAACAGTTACCAAGGACATCAGCAAAAATTAGAAATACTGAGAATATCCTGGGTAAGAGTAGGGAAAAATGGGTTTTCTCGTATATACTATAGTATTAATGTAGGTTGGTACAGATTTCTTGAACTACTTCCAGGACTCTTATCTTCAGAAATAACTTGCAATTTATTCATGCGTGTGTGTCCACGTGCACACACACACACGTGAAACATTTATCAAGTACTTAACTAAAGGCTAAGGACTATGGTGAACAAATTTGCTACTGTTATAGAGGTTAAGTCTAATGGGAAAAATGAGAACCTTCAGATTTTAAAAAAACCTATGCTAACAGTCTTAATTATTTTTTACTCATCGCTGAGACAAAATACCTGATGCCCAAAGCTGGGAAAGGAAAGGTTTATTTCTTATAGTTTTTGGAGGTTTCAGTCCATACTCAGTTGGCTCCAAGGCAGGGTGGCATGAAGGTTTCTGGTGGCTGCAAACAGCAAGGTGGAAATGGCCAAGAGAGAGAGAGACAGGCCTTCTTCCTGCCATTACATTGCATGCTGGCTCCACCCTTATAGACAATGAACCAATCACAAATGCATAATGCAAACACCTGAGGCCTGGGGGCCAACAACATAAATCATGACACTAACTAATATGAAGGATGATAAATAATGCTATGTAAATATTTCTTAGAGTATTTCAACTAGTTAGGGCCACATCTGAGAGCAGCAGGAGCAGGAGGAAAAGAATTCAAGGCAGGGAACTGGCATATGCAAAGAGTTTGTAATTGCACAAATTAAAAGCATGTTTTGTAGTATGTAAGAAAAGGATTGTGAACCAGGTATGGTGATGCACACCTGTAATCCTAGCACTCTGGGAGGCAGGGCCAGCCTGGGCTACATAGCTAGACTGCCTTTAAGAAAAAAAAGCATAAGACAAACCTCCTGTCTCTCAGAAGCTATTCCTACCCCCCCCCTTCCCCATTACTATTCTCCATTCCCTTTCTCCAATAAACTTTCCTACTCTTAATAAATAAATAAATAGAGAAAGCAAGCATGAAATTTTTGGTTTTTCCATTGCCCATTTTTTTCTATTATTGAAAATTTCTATTCAGAAAATAGGTCCTGTAATGAAGAAGAATTATCTTTAAAGAAAAAAGGCAAATTTTCTCATTCTTAATAATTGGCCTTATTATGTGCCTAATCAGGATGGTTGATTAATTTTGTATTTCCTGTTATCCTTTTTCATGAAATAAACACTGATTCTTTGACTTCTTACAGATGAACAAGCTGATCGAATATTACCAGCAGCTTGCTCAGAAAGAAAAGGTTGAACGGGATCGCAAGAAACTGGCACGGCGTAGAAACTATATGCCTCTGGCTTTTTCGGTGAGGTTTGGTACAAAAAGGAGTTTGTACGACCTGTGAGGCCTAAGAACAGTGACCATTTCTCAAAATGGCCATTGTCTTATATTGCTGAATGGTGGATGGCAGAGAGGTCAAGGCCAGCAGTTACACTTTTTTGTATTATTAGTTCTACTTGAATTTTTTGTCTTAAGGGGGATACTTGCATTTCTTCTCTACTCTTTCTTTTTTATCCCCTCCTCAAAAGGCTGCTGTTTAATTTTATAGACACTGCTGCTTTTGCATATTGCAGAAAGTCTGAGAAGAGGAAGGGGGCAAATGATAGCTTTTACTCACATGAACCCTGCAGCCCACCTTGACACCACTGTAGTTCCCCAGCTCTCATCATTATCATCTTTGTGACACGATCCTATATTTTTCCAACATGAGAAACACTGACTTTACATAGTGCATTTTCATGGTTAAATAAATATTAACATATGCAAGTAAAAATTTTGGCAGGAATTATTTATGGAAATCATTCTCTGCCACTTTATGTAATACTAGGCAGAAGCAATTGATTGGAGTTATGAGTTTTTGTTATTGTTCCCCAAGTTTTTTTGTTTTGTTTATTTGTTGTTGTTGTTGTTGTTGTTGTTTGCTTTCACAGAATGGTTTCTTTGTGCTTGCTTATGGCCCTGCAAGTTGACATTTAACAAATAACACTGAGTGACAGTGACATAGCAACACTGTAGTAAGCACTTTATATGTATTTTATTTAGGCCCTGCTTTACAGTTAAGATGAGACCTGCAAGAGTTAAGTAACTTATCATACTGTATTCACATGAGAATTAAGTTAAACCATCAAAACCTCAAGGATTGCTAAAGTTCATGTAGAAATATTTACATTTGAACTTTATAAAAGATTGACCCTTGTAAAACACCTATATTTACCAAGTAAGTGTGTTTTTCCAAATAGTCCAATGGTATAATCAGCATATGCACTACGGTGTATTGTATTTAGAAGAATTTGAATTAAATGCATTTTTTCCAACTTTCCCATATACCTGCTGCTGTTGAGTTTGCTTCTATCTTATGCTGCATTTTTTTGTCTCTGTTGCAACCTGCTGCTATTTTGGGGCTCTACAGCAACACACTATTCATGTAGTGGTAAGTTCTCTTTTACAATTCTTGCTGACCCTGAAGAAGTTAGCAAACAGTTAGCAGAAGCATCCCAGGAAGAAAGTCACTGTTCATCTTGCCTGGGCCATAGCTTAATATTTTTAGATTAGTAGTAAAAGCTCACATTTTGGTTCACTTTTACCGTATTAATGTAGTTTCAGCCTCATGTTTGGTGTTTTTATTTAAGAATAGAATAGTGATGTGAGGCTACAGATTATCCTAAAAAGAAGCTTTTAAATTAGCCTTTTTGCTTTGTTTGCTTATTTCCTTAAGCTTCTCATGCTGCCCCACCCCAAATTCTTTGTTTCAGTAAATAGGACGCTTAAATGCGAACTTCCTAATAGGAATTTCTGGACTTTGTTTAGGATAAATACGGTCTTGGAACAAGGCTTCAGCGACCACGACCCGGTGCCTCCATTAGTACCCTGGCTGGACTTTCGTAAGTTTGGACATCAAGTGACTTGGAGGGGAAAAGCTGGTATCAAAATATTTAAGGAACGTGATTATTTTAAAAGGGGGAAAAGAAAAATATTTAGCAATAGCAGCAAAGATTATCATATTTAGGATAAACTTTGAGGACCATCAGTGGACTGTGGGGAAATTAATGCTTGTTACATTTTAGCCTAAAAGAAGGAGAAGACCAGAAAGAGATCAAGATTGAGCCAGCTCAGGCTGTGGATGAAGTAGAGCCTCTACCCGAAGACTATTACACAAGACCAGTCAACTTAACAGAGGGTAACTTTACACTTCCTGCCTTGTTTCTGTTCCACATGTTCTATTTTGGTTACTTATATTCTTGTCATTAGAGACTTTTAGTAGAATGGGTGTTAATATGGTAGCAAAATGATATGTAGAAAATAAAATAGATGTAGTAGATGTAAAATGAAGAACTTCTAAATGCCTATCCAGTTTCTATACTATAGTTTTTTTGTTTTGTTTTGTTTTGTTTTGTTTTGTTTTATTGGTACCAGGGATCAAACTCATGACCTTACGTTTACCAGTCAAGCGCTTGAGCCACTGAGCTAAATCCCTGACGCCTATAACTGTAGTTGTTTTAACAGTATCCATAATGACAGTATTCCTTGGTGTCATTGCCAGCTGCATATAAGTCTGCTTTTGAAATTGATTGTAAAGTAAGCCTGGTTTCTGCCTTTCATGCTAGTGACCACTCTTCAGCAGCGCCTCCTACAGCCTGATTTCCAACCAATCTGTGCTTCACAACTTTACCCTCGCCATAAGCACCTTCTGATCAAACGGTCCCTGCGCTGCCGGGTAAGTATTCTCTGTTGAATTCCCATTTGTACAATAGAAAAGCAAAAATAAACATGATTGATAGCTGGCCAATGTAGTAAACAAGGAAAACATTTATTCCAAATGTACTCGACACCTAGGCAGTATTTTAAATGCTTTCAGGATAAACTCAGTCCTCACAATCCTATGAAGGTGGGTACAACTGTTTTTCTCTATTTTATAGATGTGGAAACTGAGATATCTGAAGGTTATATATATAGTGCTAACCCTTAAAAGAATATTAAAAGAATATGCAACTTTTAGATTAGTAGAGATAGAAAAACAAACAATACAAAACAAATAATTTAAAAGAAAGAATAAAAAGTAAATTTCATGTTCCAGGAATCTACAGAATAAACAACAGCATTTCCTCAGTAAATAAATTAAAACAATAAGTAAAACAAATAAATAAACTAGTAAAAGAAACCTTGTAGATCTGTATTCTCCCTCAGAATTTCTGTGATGGTGGAAATAGTCTTGGCTTGCATAGCCCAGCACACTGTCCATGTGGCAACTGAGCACTTGAAATGGGCAGCACAGGCTGGAGGTTTAACCTGGTGGCACAACACAAACAAACAAGCAGAACTAAGACACTGAATCTTTAATTCATATAAATAACCATGTGTGGGTAGTGGCCAATGTTACAAAACAATGGGGCTATAAAATTGTTCTTTTCAAAAAAAACATTGTTCTTTTCTTAGGGATAATAAAAGTATTGTTATTTTTTTAAATACCTTTTGGAGATATATACCAAAATATTTATGGGTGAAATGATAAGCTGTTTGATATTTATCACAAAATAATGGGGGATGAGGAGTGCGTAAAAATACAGAAGAATGAGTAACCATTATTGGTAGATTTTTTCTTTTTTATTGGTATATGGTACTGTGCATAATAATTAATTGTTCATGTACATTGTACCTTGATCATTTTTGATCTCCTTTCCCTTCCCTATCTTTCTCTTTCTCCCCTACTCCATCTCCAAAAATTCTGCTTCCCACTGGAGCTTACATGATAAGTAGTTGGGGATGTTTTTTTGTTTGTTTCTTTGTTTTTTCTTTTTGTTACCAGGAATCAAACTCATGACCTCACATTTGCCAGGCAGGTGCTGTGCTGCTGAGCTATGTCTGTGGTCCATAGTTAGGGATTTATAATGCCAGCTGTATTTTTTATACATTAGAAAATTTCTAAAGTCTTTTTTAAAAAACAAAAAAGGAAAATAACAAAACTGGTGGTTCAGATGGAAAACATGTAGTTAGATTAAAAGCCTGACATTTCAGTATTTATATTAAATATCAACAAGATAAATGCTTCTATTAAAAGACAAAAATTCTCAGTCTAAATAACATACAATGACTCATGAACAGGCTGATTGCAAGAAACACAAACAAGCGAATTCAGAAAGACAAAAAGTAGATGGGGAGCTGGGTGTGGTAGCATACTCCTGTAATCCCAGCGCTTGGAGGCAGGAGTAACTTCACTGAGAGCTTGAGGCTAGAACAGTACAGCAAGACCCTGTCTCAAAAAAAGTAGTAGATGGGAAAATACATATTGTGCAAACACTAATTTTTTTTAAAAAGAGTGTATAAGCTTTTCATCCTTGTAACCAAATACCTTGAGAAAAACAACTTAGGAAGGAAAAACATATTTGGGCTTGTCGTTTCAGGGGTGTCAGTCCCTGGTAGGCTGGTTCCATTGACTGAAGGGCTTGGTAGAGCAGGGCTTCTCACATTGAGGGTGGTTGAGACAGTGATGGCTGATACATTGTGTTAACTTGAGAAATTTAGAAATTTAAGCAACTCAGCAGGGAGCTAGGATCCTTTGTAAATATCCTCAGCCTGTACAAGAATAGGGCAAGGAGATTTTGTGAGTGCCACACCCACCCAAGGGTGTAGCCTGCTTACAGTATAAGGAAGGAAAAGAGGCTTGTTCCCTCCTTTTTGCTCTTGTTGCTTTCCTGTCTGCTGCCTTGAAGTGTTGCCCCTGTGCCATGCCACCCTGCCTTGGAGCCCACTGATATGGACTGAAACCTCCACACTGTAAGCTTTTCTTCCATAAGTTTGGGTGTCAGGTATTTTGCATCAGAAATGAGAGAAAAGTAGCCAAGACAGACACAGAGAGGGAAAGAGTCAACTATCAAAATACAGTCCCCAGGGTCACCCTCCCATGACCCAATTCCTTCACTTAGGCCCCATCTCCCATTTCTGTCACCCCTAGTAATGCCATCAAATTATGATCTCATCAGTACATTAATACACTGATGAAGTTAGAGCCCTTAGGATCCAGTGACTTCCCCAAAAGCCCATCAGTAAACCTGCAACAACAGTTAGCCTTTGAGGGACATATTTCCAAACCGTAACAGTTCATAAAGAAAAAGAGTTGAGTTCATAAAAAAAGAGGTAGCATCCTCAATCTGAATGTACCAAATAATATAGGCTCAAAATCTGTACAGCAGCATTTGAGAAAATTACATAAGTAGATAAGTAATTATGGAATGTTTTGATATTTCTCTCAGTAACTGTGTACAAACATGAAAATCAATCAGTAAAGATACATCTTTACTGATTTTCAACAGTGACCAAGTGAGCATATATAAAAAACTGTCTCTACGATCTGCAGAATATACAGTCTTAGCAAGTACACACAGAAACTTGTAAAAATTAACTATGTTTTGGGTTATAAAAGTCTCAGCATTTTTCTTTTTTTGGCGGGGAGGGGGTCTTGGGGATCGAACTCATGACCTTGTGCTTGCCAGTCCAGCACTTACGCTACTAAGCCAAATCCCTGGCCCCTCAGCATTTTTCAGAAGATGAAATTACCAAAGTTTATTATTCGATCATAATGCAGTTGTTAGAAATTGGTAATTGCTATAGGACACAACTAATGCCATTTTTAGAGATTCAAAGATCTCTGACTATATGAAGATATAGATAAGAAATATTAAAACATGTATATCTCAGCATCCATTTCAAGAAGTTAGAAAAAGAATAATGACATAAATCCAAAAACACTGAAGAAAAAAGATACTGTATTAATAAATTAAGAAATCATTGGGGCTGGGGATTTAGCTCAGTGGCATAAGCACCTGCCTTGCAAGCAGGTGGTCGTGAGTTCGATCCCCGGTACCGATTAAAAAAAAAAAAAAAGAAATCATTATAAAAATACAGAAACAAACTGGGCGTGTTGGCACATGCCTATAATCTCAGCACTCTGGAGACTGATGACCATGAGTTCAAGGCCATCCTGAATTACAAAGCAAAGACTCTGTCTCAGAAAATAATACCAGGGCCCAGGATTTAGCTCAGTGGCACAAGTGTCTGCCTGGCAAGCGCAAAGTCATGAGTTTGATCCATAATACAAAAAAAAAATCCAAAAAATAATAGTAAATATTACTGTATAGGTAGATGTAAGTTTACCTAGATGCCATTTATGTAATGTACCATTAATATAGTTATATATGTGTATATAATACATCCAACAGAATAAAAAAAGAAACCAACCTATTCATGTAAGAAAAGTTGAATTTTTTTTTTTTTGTACCAAGAATCAAACTCAGGACCTTGCACTTGCCAGGCAGGCACTTAAGCCGCTGAGCTATATCCTCCACCCTGAAAACTTGAAATATACTAAGTATGGCATTCCAGTTCAGTGAAGAAAGAAAAGATTAAGTTTTGCTAAGTAGATAATATGAAAGGAAAGTAAAATTGAGTCCCTGTCTTATACCTGTAATACCCGTTTCAGAAACATTACAGACTTTAGGAGCAATCATGAAGAGCAAAACTTGTAAGAAAATATAGAATACCTGCATGACTTGTGGGTAGGAGAGGGTTCAATAATACAAACTATAAGAAGTGTGTATTTACATTGAAAGTAAATTCTGTGTCACCCCACCCCACCCTAAAGAAAATTTCAAACAAAAAGGCTGGCCGGACATGGTAGCCTTGCAAATTCAAGACCAGCCTGGGCTACAAAGTGAGCCCAAGACCAGCCTGAACCACATAGTGAGACCCTGTCTCAAAAAAATAACAAAAAACAAACAAAGGCTATATACTGAAATGAGTAATTTGAGTGATATATAATTAACACACGGTTAACATCCAGGATATATAATGAGCTTTAGCACATTAGCAAGAGAAACAAGCCAGTATAAAAATAACTAGTAGATGCTAATATACAAGTCATGGAAGAAAAAATTTCAGTAACTAATGAATATGAAATCAGGAAAGCATAATTAAACCTGCCACGAGATGTCATTCCATAGTTGTCAGATTGGCAGAAGTTAGCATTTGTCAATGTCTGTCAAAATAATTAATGCATACATACATGGATCTATTTTAGGAAATTATCTTACCAGTATATTTACATATTGGAAAGTGATTCATCCATAACAGCACTCATTACTGCATTATTTGTAATAGCAAAATAGTGGAAGTATTTCAAATTTCCATCAGTTTCTGTCCAGTTAAATAAGGCACATAAATAGGTACAATGGGTAAGAGAGGCTTCGCTTCCTGTGTTGAAAGGGAATTCCAACTCAAGTAAAAAGAGCAAGGTGGCAAAAGAATATATAAAATGCTCCCTTTTAAGCAAGATGTGGAGTTGTATGCCTGTACTTCCAGTGTCCTGGGAGGCTGGAGCAGGAAGATTGCAAGTTCAACCCCAGGCTGGACAACTTCAGTGATTTTTCAAGATCCTCTCTCTCAAATAAAATAAAAAAGAAAAAGGTACAGAGAATAGGTCAGTGCAAACATCCTGGGTTCAATCCCTAATGCCAAAAACAAAACCAAAAAAACCTCAGTTTTTGTTATTGTGAAAAAAGAAAGACAGTATACAGTTGTATATATGTGTACATAACTTTATACCTAGGACAGCTCTGGGAGAGGAAAACAAGGGGACGCACAGATAATGGGTACCCTTTATACCAAATATCTTTTTGTACCTTTAAAAATTGTTTTAACTGGTTTTGTGTATACTTTTTTTGGAAAGTAGTAAATAGCCCCCCCCCCAAAAAAAGTAGTATTCGTTACTGTATTTCAAAGTGTGGGATTTGGAATTATACTACTTAGATTTAAATCCCAGCTTTCATTCTTACTGCCTCTGTGAAGTTGTATAAGATTATGTACTTTTCCTTTGTCGCATTTTAGTCACCCATAAAAGGAAAAGATTAACAGTTACAGCATCTACAGTTTCCTCCAAGTCAGTGTGATATGAAAGTCATGTAAGCCATGGAGCACGCTGTAGAGCACAGAACTCCTCCATGTGTCAGTTACTACTCTTCGTGTGTTGACTTTAGGCACTGCAGAGCTGGAGTAATATTTCAGTGTGTTTGCTTATATCTAGTAGTCTTAACATCTTTTATAAATTTCAGTAATCACTAGCATACACTACTTCAAAGCCTGAGGTATTAGAATAATAGTAAGTGCTGTCCTTCTGAATTTAGCAGCTCTATGGATCAGCAAAATATGTTCTAATATTCCTCTGGTACTTATTTTTCTTTTTAGAAATGTGAACATAATTTGAGCAAGCCAGAATTTAATCCAACATCTATCAAATTCAAAATCCAGCTGGTTGCTGTGTGAGTATTTTGGGGTCAGTGATTTGAGTTACTGATTCTGGTTTTAGTTTCAGTATTTTCAGGTCTGTTTGTTTTTCAGTATAAAATGTATTTACCCTTGACATTCAAAAAGGGAAAAAATTTGTTAAAACAGTCTTGTCATTCTGTTCCAGTTTGTGTTTTGTCTTGTTTTGTTTGTCTTTTTGAGACAGGGTCTCACTATGCAGTTCAGGCTGGTCTTGGGTTCACTTTGTAGCCCAGACTGGTCTCAAGCTTGTAAATGATTCTCCTGCCTCAGCTTCCCAAGTTCTGGGATTACAGGAGTGCACCACCATGCCTGGCCCGGATCATGTTTTGAATTGAGTCATATACCATGAAGTTTAAGGGAAACCTGTACACACAGAATCATGAGCATTCATGTCAAACTCAGAGGAATGCAGTGTGCTCTGGGGCAGTGTGCCATGCCAATTATTGAGAAGAGTTACTAGTCACTCGTTACAAATTATAAAGTTTGGGAGTTATCTTTCTTAAATTTAAAAATAATAATGTAAGGGCTGGGGATTTAGTTTGGTGGCATAAGTAACTACCTGGCAGGTTACAAGGCCATGAGTTTGATTCCTGGAACTACAAAAAATAAATAAATAAAGCATACTAAATTACAAGATATATTGCTATAATGCCAGTCATGTGGGAAGAATTCCCACCAGTCAGAAAAAGAAAAATAGAAGCAATGAGATGGGAGTGAGGCAAAGAATTTGAACCAGCATAGTAGCGCACATCTGTAATCCCAACACTTGGGAGGCTGAGGCAGGAGAATTGCCACTAGTTCAAGAGACTGAACTGTGCAGCAAGACTCTCAAAAAAAAATATGACACTAAGTATGGTTGTACTTTTTCCACTTTGTATTTCTGCAGTAATATTTTTGTTAATATATGCGCAATAACTACAGGTTATGCTTTGTTGCAAGCACTCGTCGAAGCATCTTTTGCACATATTGGTTAACTTACTCCTCACAATAAGCTCAAGAGAAGTGACCTCACTGTCTTACTTCTGTAGTTGAAAAACCAAATCACAAAGAGCTTCTCTTTTAGAAAACAATAGCTTGGTCTGTAAACACTGACCTGGGATTTGGTGCTAGGCAGTTTTGAGTCTTTCTGCTGTCTTACTTAAGCAGCATAACATAGTGGTTAAGACGGGTGCTAGAGCCAAACTGCCTGGGCATAAAGTCCTCACACTGCCATACCATGCCCAGGTTGTTCAGCAGCACCTTGGTACTTATTAATTGGTTCCAGGAGGCATGACAACTTACCAGATTGTTTTGGCTGTAAAAAGTAGCTAGTTGCAAGGCAGTTGATGCCAACAGATTCTAGCTTACATGTGGAGTAGCAAACAAATGATGAATATGGTAGAAAATTTTCTCATCTAGATGCATCAAGTACCAAATTGGATCAGCTTCAAAGCACTTGAGTAGTACCAAGGTTCGACTGTAGTAGTTATAAGACCTGTTTCACGAAGACGACATGAAATAATAGTTAACAAGGTACTTAGAATATTGCTAGACATGTGATAAGAATATATTTTTACAGCCCTACAACCTACCATTATATGAGACTTGTACCTTGTATCCAGTTACCTTCTACAATTATAAAAATGAGATACTAAATAGGTCTCCTAGGGGGTTGGGGATTTAGCTCAGCGGCATAAGCGCCTTCCTTGCAAGTGTGTGGTCATGAGTTCGATACCTGGTATCTATAAAAACGAAACACACACACACACACACAAAAAAATAGGTCTCCAAAATATATCTAATAAATCCCCAAAATAAATCTAATAATACAGAAAATATGACACACACACACACACACACAGGCTCTAAATTAGCTCTGTATGTATGGGCTGTAGTCCTCTAAGATTTTACTTAGGATTCACAACCAGTTTGGTTTCATATCTAGTTTCTCACCATGATGCTATGATTCTTTAAATTTCTTTTTCTTTTACATATTCTAATTAACATGATTTATTGCACTAGCTTAAAAAGTGGTAATAATTTCAAGATTCCAGTAAAAATTAATGCATTTTTTTTATTTATTGGTAGCAATTATATTCCAGAAGTGAGAATCATGTCAATTCCCAACCTTCGCTACATGAAGGTTAGTACCTTCCTTATTAACAGAAAAACTGACTGACCAAGGATGTATGCGTGTGTGCATGTGGGTATATTTGGGATGGGCTGCGGTGAGCAGGGGAAAAAAATAATAAAGGAATTGTGACTAAGTTTCTTAAACTTGGGTTCTTGACAATAACACCTCTGAAATGTATGTAGAAGGAACGAGGTGCACATTCTATAAACATGGAACCATGGCAGGTGGATAATGATGGTACCCATGAAAGACATCTTTCCTCATCTCCAGCCTGGACATTCCCCACAGCCTCTCTCTTCCTTGGAGTCTCATCCACATCTCTTCCTGCCTGCTCTCCCTCCCTGCTCTGCAGCAGCGTTAGTGCTTCCTTTCATGCTGCTCTTGAGAACGTTTGTATACTAACCTCAGGAAAGTACCAGATTTATGGATTTAGAACTGGCTCTTTCTATGGGACACATCTCTTTTCCTCAGTGAAGTAGCAGCTCCAGAGAGTATAGACTAACATACCCATAACAGGCCAGAGATGAGTGAACACTGAGAATACAGCCATGAAGAGGATAGGTAGGTGTCATTGCTCAGGAGCAATGGGGAATGATTTTGTAAAATATTTGGTATAGTAGCCAAGAAAATGCACCCATGTGACAGCATAGCACATGTCTGAGAGATGCTTTTCTTCTTCCCCAGGAAAGCCAGGTCCTCCTGACTCTTACCAATCCGGTGGAAAATCTCACCCATGTGACTCTATTGGAGTGTGAGGAGGGGGACCCTGATGATACAAACAGCACTGCCAAGGTAGGAGCATTTGGTTTCATCCTGACACACCCTGACTATACCCACAGTGGCTTCATTTGACCTGACTTTAAAAGGACTCCACATTCTCATTCTTTTCCACCTCAGTAAGTTCTTCTGATTCTACTTGCTAAGGCTTTTATTCTATTCCCAGAGACACTGCCACTATGCCGCTGGAAGGTCTCATCATTTCTTACTTGCTCTGTGACCTCACTGTGTCTTAATGCACTCCTCGCTCCATTTCAGTCCATCTCTGTATTGCCACCAAGCCGATTTTTCTAAAATCTATTGTGTACAGCATACAGATCATTTAGGATCTCACTGACTTTAAAATGAAGTCCAAATTTTGTGGCATAGCATACCAGTGAATTCTGGCTCTTCTTCCAGTGTGGCTTTCCTCCAGATCTGCCAGTGTAGCATTCTCCAGATTGGCCATATTAATAGTTGTGATTCAGGCAGACCAGTGAATTAAGAACTTTTCATCTGGAGAAGTGTGTATTTTATACATTGTACGTTGAATGCCTGCTGCAGGTCCCTGTTTCTCTACCATATATCCCTTTCATTTGTTAGGGCTCATGTGAAGTATGTCTTTTCTAGGTTCCATCACCCCACATATACATAGCACATATCAAAATCAAAATTTTTATTTCCAGGTTAGTTGAGTAAATGAAATGTGGCCTCTGTATTTTGCTACTGAGTGATTTCTTTAGTACTGGAAATTTTAAGATAAGAACTTTAGATCTTACTGGATATGAAAGTGCATGCCTATAATCCCAGCACTCAGGAGCCTGAGGCAGAAAGATCACAGCAAGTTCGAAACCAGCCTAGACTACATAACAAGATCCTGCCTCAAAAAATCCCTTTGATTCTATACTACTAACCCATAATTTAGCATGATACTCATAACTAAAATTGGTAGAAAGGATGTCTAAATCTTTAGGTATTAATCAGATAATCTTATTAGAGAGTGTCTTTATCTCTTTTTTTCTTTCTGCTCTTCAGTAATTCATTTCACTTATCTAGGATCACCCCTAAGAAAATATGCCATTTATTTGCCCTGCTTCTTTTTTAAAAATGACATTGGTTGGCAGCTCCCATTAGAAGACAGACAGAAGTAATTGCCTAGTGCATATACCCAGCTTGGAAATCTATTGTCTTTCTATATACCAGCCTTGCTATATTTGTGTGCATAATTTAGAAATATGTTTGGAGTTGTATCTGTTAGCCTCTGAGCAAATGTGAGACAGCATTAAAGTAAGTCTCAAATATGTGTAACTCTTTTCCATAACCATAAATATACCCAGTTGTCCCTATGTTGGAACTAGTGTTTCTTTTTAGTATCTTAAAAAAAAAAAAAAAATGAACTGTTTCCTTAAAAAAGAGAGGCAAAGAGAGGAGAGGGTTAGAGAGGAGAGAAGAGGGGTGGAGAAAAGAGAGTAGGGGGGGATAGAGAGAAGAGGAGGATAGAGAGGAGTGGAGAGGAGAGGAGATAGAAAGGACAGGATACAGAGGATCCGAGGAGAGGGGAGACGATAGAGGAGGAGGGTAGACAGGAGAAGAGAGGAGAGGGGGGGAAAGGATTAAAAAAATATAGCAAACACCCATGTATTTCTCATCATCCTCTTAAGAAATAAAACATTAACATAAATTTTAAAACATACAAAAGGAACAAAAAGAAATCAAAACAGAGGGGCTGGAGATTTAGCTCAGCGGCATAAGTGCCTGCCTTGCAAGCAGGCAGTCGTGAGTTCGATCCCCAGTACCAATAAAAAGGAAAAAGATCAAAAAAAAAAAACATCAAAACAGTATGTTAGAGACATAGAGAGTACCCTGCATTCTGCCTGCTTGAGTTCTCCTGTGCAGCTCCCAACTTTTATCATTCCTAGAAATTTCTTCATTCCTTTATTGTTATTAGGACTGTCTTATTCCTAAGCAACATTTTTAACCTCCATATGTAAATAGCATAATGTTGTTTGTGTCTTCAAAGTTTCTTCTCCTTTCTAGATCAGCGTAATTGTTGGCCATGTTGTGCTGTGTGACTGTTCCACACATACCTGCTCTCTCTGAATCAGGCCTCTCTGTTGCTCTCCAGGTGGTGGTGCCTCCCAAAGAGCTTGTGTTAGCTGGCAAGGATGCAGCGGCAGAGTATGATGAGCTGGCCGAGCCCCAAGACTTTCAGGATGATCCTGAGTGAGTGATCTTTTTGTGATTCTCAAGTAACAGTTGGCTGACTTGAATATCTCATTTTCTCACTTGTTTACCTGGATTATTAAATGTAACACTTTTTCTTATAAAATATTACTGTATAAATGTGGGAAGTATGTCTACTAAAACTATCCCACTGTCAGAGATGAACACTGTTACCATTTTGGTGTTTGGCCTTCCAGATGCTTCTTTCATCACTGAGAGTGTTATGAATAGTTTGTTAGCCTTTATTTTTTACTTAAATGTATATTCTCACAGAACTTTTCAAGTGTATTACTGTTTGGTTTTGTTTGGTTGAGACAGGGCCTCACTATGCTACTATATAGTTTAGGCTAGTCTTAGTAGCCCATGCTCACCTTGAATTCAGAGCAGTCCTGCCTCAGCTTCTCACATGCTGGGATTACAGGCATGTGCCAACATACCCCCAGCTTCAAGTGTAAGATTTTTAATGGTTGTGGACATGTGGATACATTCTGTTCCTTTACATTGGGTTTGTTTCCACCTCCTTAAAGTGATTTATAGATTTTACTGTTTTACTTAGTAACTGAGAGGTAACAAAACAAACACTTGGAGCTTGGTTCAGTGAGGAACATCTGAAATGCCAGCCACTTAGGAGTCTGAGGCAGAAGGATCACAAATATGAGACCAGACAGATCCTGTTTTAAAATTTTAAAAATAAAAAGGGCTGGAGATGTAGCTCTGTGGTAGAATAACCAAGTTCCATCCCCAGTACCACCACCAAAAAAAAAAAAAAAAAAAATTGGTAAGGAATGCAATAGTCAGGATCAGGGTAAAATTATATCCATCAGATGGGGAACTGAGCAGAGGGAATTTAATAATAAATAATTGTTGCCGGGTGCAGTGAGACACCCCTGTCTATAATCCAAACACAGGAGAATTGCAAGTTCAAGGCAAGGTCAGCCTGAGCTGCATAGCAAGACTTTGTCTCAGTAACTCCTGGGGAAAAAGTTACCAAAGGTTCAAAAAGAACTCTGAAGTTCCGATGAGACAGCTATCATCCCTAGGGCTGTAAGTAAAAAGGGAAATAGTTAGAAATGTTAAAATTCAAGCTCGAAAGCCAGCGTGATAGCACTCTCTAATCCCAGCACTTGGGAGGCTGCTGCAGGTGCATCACCACAAGTTCAAGGCCAGTCGGGACTATACAGTGAGTTCAGGGCCAAGCCTGAATTGCACAGCAAGATGGTCTCAGAAAACAAAATGAAATAAAAATTTCAATTAAAAGAGCAGAACTACGAGCTTCCAAATACAAAGTAACATTAAGCAGTAGAAATGCTAATTACACTGATTTGCTAGATACACATTGTGTTCATGCATTGAAATATCACACTGTCCCTCATGACTGTGTGGTTTTTATTTGTTAATTAAAAAACGTTAAGTTCAATCCCTGGTACCGATAAAAAGGAAAAAGACCAAAAAAAAAAGTTAAGACAGTGTTTGAGGTAGAAATTCCAATACCCTGATTTGATCTTTACATATTGTATACATGTATTAAATGACTACAACGGTCCCTATAAATATGTTTGTTGAAATTTTAGTGAAAAATCAGGAAAGAATTATTTAAATTCAGAGGCTTGAAAGAGAAGCCCCAAGGAGCTGAAACTCAAGACTGCCAGGGAAGCGGGGAAGAGACAGGTGCTGCTGGCATCTCAGAGTGGTATGAGGAAACTGGTCAGGCAGGAACTGGTGAACCAACTGGGTCTTCCCATTTCTTGGGTGATAAAGAATTACTGGGATAATGCTCAGAAGAACCACATCAGATGGGAAGCTGAGGAGGAGGAACAAGACCCTTCTCCCCTAAGTTGCTACCACCTTTAGAGCTCTAGAGTATCCTATTGCCACCACAAGTAGGGAGCCAGCTGCCAAAACAGAAGTGGATTTAACAGAATCCTGTCAAACAGCTTGATAAACTAGCTCAGGGACATTTAAAGTTTTTAACAGAGTAACTCAAAAACTAGCTCAAAACAATACTAGAGAGAAGACACATCAGATGGGCTGGAAAAATAAAAAGAGAAAGTAAAATTAGTACAATGATAACTAAACCTCAGTTAACTTCAGAGAACACCAGAATTGGTGTTTTATTATTCTATATTATTCCCTGGCCCACCCCCAGAGGTCTCTACAAAATTTCCACTAATACACAAAGATAAATATGAAAGGATGTTTGCACTACATGATTTATAATAACTAGGCAGCAGCTTCAGTGTACAATTGTGGTAAATTCATGACTGAATACTATGCAACCATTACGTAGAATGTAGATTTATATATTCCAGTGTGGAAAGGAGTTTGTGATAGGCAGTTTTTAAAAAAAACAAGTTACAAACAGACGTGGTAGCACATGCCTGTAACCCCAGTACTCAGGAGACTGAGGCAGGAGGACTGTGCAAGTGCAAGGCAAGTCTTAAGTACATAGCAAAACCCTGTCTCTAAAAATCTCAGAATAAATGCATATAAAAAACAAGTTTCAGCCTTATTTGTGTTAAGAATACAGAAAAATGTAAGCTTCTAGAAAAGCATCTGATAGGTTAAGAACTAAAGTGTTTACAGTTTATCTCTGTATGCCAATGGTAAAAACAAAGAGAAGGATTTACCTTTTCCCAATTGAATTTGTTGTCTACATTTACTTTTGTAATATTTAGAAAATAAAGAGATCAGTATTTGCTGGAGAAGCTTGTTAGTGCTGATAAACAGGATGTGATGGTTGTATCTTACTAGAAATTTACTTTGGTGCATTGTGGCTGTCAGTTTCAGTGGTCTGGCTAACCTGTAACCTGATCTCTGCTTATTCTTTCCATAGCATTATAGCCTTCAGAAAGGCCAACAAAGTGGGCATTTTCATCAAAGTTACCCCACAGCGTGAGGAGGGTGAAGTGACCGTCTGCTTCAAGATGAAGCATGATTTTAAAAACCTAGCAGCTCCCATCCGCCCCATTGAAGAAAGTGACCAGGGCACAGAAGTCATCTGGCTCACCCAGCATGTGGAACTCAGCTTGGGTCCGCTCCTCCCTTAAGAGCTTCCCTGGTGGGCAGATCCCACCAGCAGCACGATCACCAGGAGCCTGTGTTAAAGTGCGGAAGCTGCTGCTTCGTTAGACCCTGTTTGTAACGATGTACCGATGCACTACGGAAAGACAGGTGCCGGGAGCAGGGTGCCTGTGTTCCCCGTGCTGTCTCCTCTGTTGGCACAGTAAGTCTGTGCCTCCCTCACTTGGGCCTGCACGTTGAGTAACAGTAATGCAGTTCCAGCCCAGTGAAGGGATGACTGTTCCTCAGAGTGGTGTTAGATTCACCACCAGAGAAGCTGTGTCTCTAGTGTCTCTCAATGTGATCTCACAAAGGATCAGTCTGACAAATGAAACTTAAAATAATAACCCAAAGCTGGACCTGCTCCTTGTCCAGCGCTGGTCAGTGTACCAACTGCTTCCTGCATTCCAGTAAAACAGTTGAGCAGTCTACAACGTATCTCTTCACTTGCCATCATGGCTCTCACTTTGCCACAGATTTCCACGTAGCAGAAAAATAGAACTGTCGTATTGTCTTCAGTTTTGTGATGATTAGAAAAACATAAAATTCTTGAGGCGTTCTTCCTTACCCTCTCTTCTAAGCGAATACAGGACACCTATGTATCAGTTGCTCTTTAAATTTTTTTCCCCAGAAGAATATGGAATTTTTCTTTTCATAAAAACATGCGAAGCAAGCTGTTATACTTGCAGTCAAGCCAGGCATAGTGGCACGTGGCTGTCCCCCACTACTTAGGAGGTGGAGGTAAAGCCAGAAATTTAGCTCAGCAGCTTAAGTGCTTGCGTGCTAAGTGTGAGGTCATAAATTCAACATGGAGTACCTCCCCCGCAACACAAAAGTGGAGGCAACAAGATTGGAAGTTCAAGGCAAGCCTGGGTAACCTGGTGTCTCAAAATAAAATGATTGGGATGTAGCCCAGTGAGTCCCTGGGTTCTATGCCTAATACTTTAAAAAAAAATTGAGTAGTAAATTGGATCCATTTAAAACATTGCCACATTACCCCAGGATGAATGCTGCCACTAGAGCCAGCCCTTGTATTTGCTTATTCGCTGTCCCTCCTGCTTTGCTCTGCCTACTCAATAAATTTTTCTGAGTATTGGGGACCTGGAAAGAGCCCAAGAAAAGCCTAAGGGACAAGTTCATTTCTGGAATGTAGAAAACATTTTTAAAGTTAGAATTTTAGCATGATCTGAACTAATGTTCTTTCCACTAATTTGAAAAGGAAATTAACTAGTATAATCTCTTGCATCCCAAACCAGACACTAAGTAAAAGAACTTTTCTTAACAGAGTTGAAGACTTTTGTTTCAGATAAGACCATTTAAATTGTAACATCGTTCCACAAGTACCCAGAATGCTGGCCTAACAGCAGATGTGCTGTTTTAGTTGGATACTAGAGCTGAGTTTGCTAACCTAAATTTGTGTGTTTCTAAAACAAGACTTGACAAACTGGACCACCAGTTGCACAATATTTTTCTTTAAAAGTATTCTCCATAAATAGCCAACAGACTTGAGGAAAAGATAAATTTCTTGTTTATCCTGGTTTTAAGTCTTTAGCTTAAAAATACTAAGATATATAATCTAGAATACATACCGTCCTTGTCAGTGGAAGCTCTGGAAGGACACTAAATTGTACTTTTTAAGGTCAAGCCCATTTTATGAAGCAGTAGTCCTACAGAGAAATACATGCTATGGTGTAAGGAAAAACCTCATCTCTAATATTATGGTAAGAATAACCGAGGTTTAGGCTTTTAGAAGTTGGGGTAGGGAGGTGGGTAATTAGTAGTTTTGCCGACTGTAGAAAGAGTGTAGCTTTGTGGCCTTCACAGAGTCAGTTTTCACTTCACTACATGCTAGCGCTTACGTGAAACCACCGCTGCACACTGGCCCCTGGACGAAGTGGGTGGCAGGGTGGAGAGCAGCTTCCTATGTTTACACATTCGCATGGCCTGCACAGAGCTGAATGTGCTGCCTGTATGGCTCGGAGCTGGTATCTGAAGTAGTGGATCTCCTCACTCCCATATGATACCCAAACCCAAAAATACTCAATGAGTTCTTTCTTCAGAAGCCGAGTTAACAGAAGAACAGAGTTATTGGTTTCAGTTTCCTCAAGATAGGTTTGAGCACAAGCTGGTATTCTGTGTGTTCATAAAACTGGTATAACACCTGCAGATGGTGAGTGAGGAATTTCATCTGTTGCCTTTTTTATATTAGAATAGGTGCGAGGTTTTTAACACTAGTGAGGGTTCACCACCACAGGAGGGTTACATATTAGCACTTAAAACTACACTTCTGGAAATGTGAGCCTAGGTAATTTGGATTTGTGATTTGGTTCACCAAACTTCTTTTGTTCAGAGTTCGTACTGTAGGCATAATGAGCTAAATGTCACGTGTATTCGTAGGGAAACATCCTTTTTGGTCCCTTTCGGGAATGAGAGGCACTCCTTAATGTATGAACGACAGGTTACTGTTTTGCCTTATTGCTTAACTTAATGTAGTGAAATAAAGCAGACAAAGCTTCAGTGTGTCTCGGTTTCATTTCATGAGTGCTATTTGCAAGGGGCGTAGCTCAGAGTCCGTGCACACAGGAAGGGTGAAGCGAGTGGTATGAGTCCATAGACCAAGACTTTTTTGCCCACGTCTTTATGCGAACTAAGGTAAACCCTTGTAGCAGATTAGTTGACTGTGATGTTAGAAAGGTGGATACTGCTGGAGCCCCTTACATACATCTATGTCCTCAGCACCGTTGTATAAGTGTTAGATGGCTACCAGCCTGGGCCATGACACCCAGATACCCTCTTTTCGAGTGTGCGGGATGGTGTCACCCCCAGAGGTAGCCATTCATCCACCATCCTCTGTGCCCATGTACTTTCTCCTTCCCTCCCGCTGCTGGATGAACTGTTTGCTCCTATCTACAGGCAGCTCACTTCAATACAGGCAGCTCTTCCACTTACTCATTCAGATCTATCACGTCAGCACTGCCTTGTCTGTGTCACTTCTAGTACCATGTTATGATTCAGCTCATTTTTTAAAGAAATGACCTGACTGCTATCCCAGTGCTCTGCTCCCTACAGAGCAGAACTACTTCCCTCCTCCCATTCACAGCACCCCCATCAGGCCATTGCCCCCAACATGGCCCTGAGCTGCCTTTGTGCTAGCATCTGACAGTTGATCTCTCCCATCTCAAAAGTGCGTGGTCTCCAGAGCACAACATACGGGTTTCTCTTTACTTCATAGGGAACTCCTCTTCAGTGTTATCATCTGCTGAGCTTTGCAGCATTACATATCTCATTTCTTACAATTTTCTCTCTACACTTAACTTTGGGTTCTTGCCCAGTTTTTCAAGCCATTTCCCATATTCAAAAAAAATTTTTTTTAAAGTAAAAATACCTTCTCTAGAATATTCATTCATCAAAGTCCAAAACTGCAGTTAAGATTTCCTCTCACATCTGTCTCTCCTGCAATACTATCTAATCAAAAGTAAAACTATATCCTTTCAGTTGTCCGCAGCAAAACTTTAGTTCCTCTATATGCCATATCCAGTAAGCCAATTGTGTCAACTCCTCCTTCCAGCCAACACACCATCTCCAATGTTTCCGTCCTGTACACACCCATGGGTCGTCGTTCCAGAGGCGTACAAACATCTTGAAACCCCACTGGTCATTTGCCCCCCTCCCCAACTCTCAATACAGTAGGCAGAGCGATTAAGTCATTTTTCAGCTTAAACTCTGAAAGGCTTCTTGGTATATTAACAGCAAAGAAGGAGGAGAAGCAGAACAAGAAGTTTTTACAATAATGTAAAAAAACCACACAGGGTGGCACACACCTGTAATCCTCCCATTTAGGAGCCTGAGGCAGGAGAACTATCATAAGTTTGAGGCCAGGTTGACCTACACAGTGATTGCAAGGCCAGCCTGAGCTCCATAGTACGACCTGTCTCAAAAGAAAAAAAAAATCATGTAAGGCCCTATACGACCCGAGTCTCCCCTGAACCTCTCCTACCCCAAATCCATCCACTACCCCTATGCTTACACCAGCCTGCCATGCTGGCCTCCCTGCTAGTCCTGAGTCACCCTAGCAAGGCTCCTCAGCCTTGACAGAAGGCTGCACCTTTGCCTTCAAAGTTTCCCAGAGATTCACAGCTCACACTGCACAGAGCTGTGCTCCATGCTGCTTTCCTGTGGCTCTCCCTGATCCTATGCCAGGTCAGCTGCCTTACCTCAAACACACTCCCCTATTATAATCTCAATTGTAATTCCTTATAATATTACAATCCAAATACTTTAATCCCTTTTCCTGTCCTCCTCATGGTCCAGGAAGTTTATAATTGTAATCCCATTGAAATGTTACTGGAATCCCAGCAAGTTAATTCCAATCTACCCACCTGTAATGCAGCTCACAGCAAGAAGACACTAAGACATTCAAAGTGACAGGCAGCCAAGGAGTCCTGAGTCCAGTCCAGATAAGAATACACAGAACAAAAGCCCTGATCCAAGGCCTCACCCAGGATTTATTATCTCATGAAGAAGGGAATGGTTTGAGGATGAGTGGCGGTGACAATGACAGGAATTACAGGAGCAATGCGAGCTGAGCTGGCCCGGTGGAGAGACAGCACTTCTGCAAAATGCAGGGAGAAGGGTATGCAGAAAGATCAATCTTCACAACTCAACTGGGGTAGCATTTGAATGATTTAGGATGCTGTTGCTTCAGTTTTTGATAAGTAAACTGTTGTGCCCTAGGAAGTCATAGCGTCTTGTCTTGAAACTCAAACCCAGTTGACATTCCTGGAGCTATGTGGCTCTGCCATCTGCTGTACTCAATCACTTATAGGGAACACCATACAAGGAAACAGGAAGCTATTGGCTGGCTTCAGGGATTACATACCAGCACCTCAGCTAGCCTTATTTGTATTGCTTAGAGCCAATCATGGAAGAAGGAAATTGCTTAATCAGTTCTGTGCATATCATTACATGGGATAGAGCTTGGTTTAACCAATGTGGAGATGATTATATCCACTATTACAGTTTCATACTGAGTAGTTTCACTGCCCCAAAAATCTTCTCTTCTATGCCTGAGTATCCCTTCCAGATCCCAAACCCTGACAACCACTGATATTTTTGTTGTCAACATAGTTTTACCTTTTCTAGAATGTCTTATAGTCAGATTGGCTCTTTTTTCGCTTTCTGATATGCAGTAAAGGCTTCTCCGTGTCTTGTCCTGACTTGACAGCTCATTTGGTTTTAGTGGCTATTGATCTTTTATCATTTATAATAGATAACATACTTTTCTTTCTTTTGTCAGAAATATTTTCTTCCTGATTTGTGGGGTTTTTTTGTTTTTTGTTTTGCCAGGGATCTAACTCACAACCTCAAGTTTGCCAAGCAGGCACTTATTCTGCTGAGCTAAACCCCCGACCCTGTTTTCTCATTATCTTTTTTCTTCTAGAATACCCTTTCTCCTCTCTACATCACCATGAGTACTTTCTACTTCTATCTAAATGTGATCTTAATCCACAATGCTGTCCCGCTGTGCAGCTGGAGTCTCTCTCTTCCTTGCTCAGTGGGATTTTGTAGATGGATAGCTCTTTTACTACTGCAAATGCCCTGAGATCTACATTTCGGCCCCTCTATCATGTTTCCCCTACACTGTATTCAAAGATCAAGTTAGAGCAAACTCCAAAACACAGACATAAATTGCTTGCTGAATTGCAATCCAGTCATGGACCACATGTGACAATTACAGTAAATAATAATTGAATATATGACAGGGTTCCATAAGACTATATCACCTAGTTAGGTGGTAGCCTTATTGGTGTAGGTACACTCTATGATGTTTGCACAATGACAAAACTGCCTAATGATACATTTCTCAAAAGGTATCCTTGTCCTTCAGTACTTTAAGTTCTCTTTCTTTATCTTCTGCTACTCAGGGACATTAATAATATAAAGAAGTATGTTTCACATTCTGCATTACCTACACAGAGTAACAACTTTAAGTGTTAAGTGAAAGTAACATTAAGCAATCTAGAATAAATAATGGGAGTGTTGTTTGTTTTTCCCTCAGTACTGAGACTGAACGCAGGGCCTCTCCCAAGCTACGCAAGTACTCTAGCTAAACTACTTCCCCAGCTGTTATGGCTTGTATCTAGATGTCACCAAAAGCCTCACGCATAGGTGGGGCTTCTGGGAGTTGAGGGACCATAAGGTAATACGGGAATATTTCATTGGTTGGTTAGCATGGTTCTGGATGTGAGTGACAGGTTCACTGAAGAAGGAAGTCCCACCCTCAGGGTGTGTGGCACCAACAATAGACTTGGAGCCTGGTGGAATAAAAAGCGAAAGAAGGAGGCTTGCCGCTTCCTTCCTGCCATGCCATGGACCATTTCTCCTCTGTGATCCTCCTCTGCCACCCCATCCTACCTTGGACCCAGCTGACTGTGGACTGAAACCTCTACACACTGTGAGCTAAAATAAACCTTTCCTCCTTTAATTTGTAGGTGCTGGGTATTTAGTCTCAGCAATGAGAAAGTAACTAAGATATCAGCCTCCACTACCCCAACATATACTTCTAGCTCTGATGCTTTCATAGGGAATAGTGGCACTTCCGAAATAACAATGACTCACCTTCATTGTACTTGTTTTTTAAGGTCTCAATTCTCAAGTGATACCTTCCACTTGCAGAATTGACAGAAACATTCTGCTTAAACTAAGTAAAATGAGCATGGTTATGACTCGTTTTATACCCCCAATTCCATCACTCTGCAAAGCGAAGGCAAGAGGAATGCAAATTCCAGCCAATCCCAGGCAACTTTGGGACTTAGTGAAACCCTGTCTCGAAATAATAATAAAAAACAAAAATTTAAGGGCTGGGATGTAGCTAGGAGCAAACAAAGTAAGAAAGGTTGAATGAAGTTCTGCAGAAGCTTCTGCCTACAATGTGGGTGTCTATGAAACAAAAACCAAAGGTGAGCAGATCACAAAAATCATCAGTGTTCTTAGATCTTTTGGAGACCTGATGCAGCAGGACAGTCAGATAGTCTGAACTTCAAGGATGGACAGATACCTGTCAGGAGTAGGAAGACACACAGTCTGTTTCACAGACACCAAGAAGAAATGTGGGCTACTACAAGTAGGTCAGAGAACATCAACTAAAACATTAAAGAATTATTAAGGGCCAATATGATCAAATAAAACTCTGGAAGCCCAAGACATGAAGACATAGCTTTGTGTATACTCCTGGGTTTTCTAAAATGTCCACTGGGTGTTGGTGAGAAAGACAGCCAGGGTGGGGATTCTATAGAGCCTACCTTGGTTAGGAGGGAGGCAGGAAGAATGCACTCAAGAAAATTATAAAACTTTGCCCCATTACTCAGGCCATTTCCTTCCTAGGGAAAGACCTACTCCACAGAAAGAGGCCAGAAAACCACACCTTTCCAGATAAAAACCCACACACCTGACACCAGGTAAGGAAGACCTCTCCCCAAGAAAAGGACAAGATTCAGTCATAAGTCTACAAATCTACACCAACACTATTAAACCCTGTTGCCGAAGAAAGGGCAGCAACTCTCTCTCCAAGACAGCCATAGATACAAGTCAGAGGGAAGAGGAGTGAGAATGCTAAAAAAGGAGTCAATACTTCAGTAGGCGCACACCACCTACTGAAGACTGCTACTGAATTAGAACAAGAACCTCTCCATCTGTCCACCACTAGCAAGAAGCTGGTGGTGACCAGTAGCTGGGGCTGGGTAAGGGAAGGGCCCAGAAGGAGCCTTGCCTCTACTGCTCAGGTATAGGGTACAGCTACAAACTAAGGGTATCCACAAATACTTCAGAAAAATTCTTCAGCCCCATCCTAAAGTATATGGTAACAATAGAGTATGTGGCTCTAAGTGTGTCTGAAGGGACTTACTCAAAATAAAAGACCCACCCATAGTGTGATTTGCACCAACCAACAGGCTCCTATTGGAATGGAATAAAAGGGAAACGAAGAAAGAAAGCTTGTTTCTCTGGAGGCGCTCCAATCTTCACCTTTACGTTGGTGGTCAGCTCCCAGTTTTCAGCATGGATCCTTTAGCCTCCTGGGTACCGACTCCCACAGGACACTTCAATGTGCTCCACACTTTCGACCTTTGAGTGGATTCTTCGGATCTCCACGGTGCAGACCTTTCTTTGGCACTCTTTCACACAAGACACAGTGGGCTGCCAGCCACAGTGCTGGGATTATAGGCATGTGATACCATGCCCAGCTCCAAATGCTATTTTAAAGTAATATATGTCCCATAGCCTGGCATGGTGGCACACGCCTTTAATCCCAGCACTCGGAGGCAGAAGCAGGAGGATTGCTGCCACAGTGAGGCCCGCCTAGCTACAACATAATGAATTCAAAGCCAGTCTGGGCTACATAGCGAGACACCGTTTCAAAAATTAATAAAATGAAATATATCCCAAACACATTTATACAGGAAAAAAAAACGACTCATTTTTCTGGAATACGATTTAACTCGACATTCTGTATTTGCTAACTCTGGCAACTCTACAGAGAGCTATTGTGAGAATCAAATGAGGCTGGCACTGCAAGACGTCGCCCAGTGTTCTGCATAATAAGAGCTCAGTGGTGGCTAGCGCGGTTTAACCCCAGTCCCAGCTCCTCATTCATTACTTGTCCCTTTCTTTTCTCCCAATTTTTAAATAAATCATCTGCACTAGCTGCTCTTCATCCTAAGTACCACACTAACTCCAAGGAAGTGAAGTGGCAGTAAGCCAGCACCCCAATATTATCTCAGAACTTCCAAAAGCAGTAAACTTGTAACTCTCAAGGCCCCGCCCAGGGGGCGGTTCTTGGCGTGTAAATAAGACGTCATCAACAGGCTGCGCACCGCCCCGGAGACTGACGGGATTGTGGCGGTCCTCTCTCACTGCTCAGAGGCTACTGCTGCCCCGCCGACGCTCTCAAAATGGCGACCTCTCTGGGTTCCAACACCTACAACAGGCAGAACTGGGAGGATGCGGTGAGTGTGCCCGCTGGAGGAGGACGGCAGGAAGCAGCAAAGCCGAGCCTTCTGCGAGCGGGCTGCACCAGGGCTATGGCATGGCCGAGGGAACTCCAGGAAGGAACCGGCGCTGCGGCCTACCTTGGCGGGAGCAGGAAGCAGGGGGGCAGCCTTCCTGCGGCTCGGAGAGAGGGGCTTAGCCAGGGTCCAGTCTGTTGCCCATCCCTGTCCCCACCAACCTTTTACAGCCGATTCCCCACCCTCACGCACACCGCATGCCGGAAGTGCAGACAGCGCCCCCTCCCGCGACCCGGCCTGTGCAGGACCTCGGATCCCTGCTCTACCTTGTTCCCTACTCGCGCGCCCCGCCACTATCCCCATGAGTTTGAGTGGGTTGTGTGGGTCTTCGGAGCGTGGTCCTCAACTGGATTTCCCATTTTCACCAGGATTTCCCGATTCTATGCCAGACATGTCTTGGCGAAAACCCATATATCCGAATGGTGAGTGTTCGCATGTACCAGGAGTCATTGTTCATGTTCTGTCAATATTGTGGGTGACATGCAGGTGCTGTTAAGCGTTTCTCTTAGCCACAGAAGAAATGATACTCTTACTAACCTAAACAGTGGAACGATTTACAAAGGACTGCCATGCTTATTCTAGCTTTAGAAATTCAGGAATAATCTCATATTGTAAGAATACTAACAGCTGACGTTTGTTGACAGTCTACTTGGGAGGTAGGTCTGTTGACCAGAGGATGAGAGAGTTTATTTCCTTATCTCAAGGAACGAGTGAGGCTAGGATTTAAATTCAGATATTCTGACTCCAGGGACCTCAGCAAATGAGGAAAACCAGGATTTGACTGGTTCCAGACTCCTAATCATGGACCTTTCAACCACTGCACCTTATAGTCTGTAGTATAAAGTGCCTCTAATCCTTATAATAACAATGCAAGGAGAAAATACTGCCAACCTGTTAGATGTCAGAAGTGTGTTACATGGTCAGATGGTCTTACAATGTCAAGGAATGAAGTTGCAAACCAAAGGAGGAAGTTTAGAGAGTTATATCGGAAATAAAGAGAAGAATAGCTCCTGGGTTTCCAGGAAGGGTCCCAAGTGAGTAGCCACACAAGCTCTTCATCAGGGTAATTTATACAGCGAAATCACTACATGTGTCAAACTGCAGTCAACCTAGTAGACTGCATGTATAGTCACTTCACTAGTAATTGATGCAGTAGGGAAACGAGTCACATAGCAAGGGACTATGGAAAGAAGAGATGGATTTGTGGAAAGGGATGGGTTCAGATGTTCTGGTCACCCATCTATGTGTCTTGATTCCTTTCTGGGCTCATAAGGTGGTGCTAATTACAGTGTAATTTCAAGTTGCTGTTTACCTCTAGAAAAGCTTGCAGGCCTAGCCATTTTGTCTGTATCTTGAGGCCTGGCTCTCTTCAGGTTTGCTTCCAACCACAATTCTGATGTCTTCATCTTTTGTTCTGACTTCCTTAAGGGCCCAATCCCTCTCTGACTGCATGTTAATTTCTGTCTAATGCAGCTGTGGATAATAAGGGTAAAATAATAGTTAACAGTAATTGGTTAGAGTCTTACTATTATTATCAGCTTCAGAGATGTTGGTATGCTGGTATGTTTAAGATGTTTGAACAGCTGATGGGAACAGAATGTTTGCTGGATACAAGATTTGAGCACAGAATGAGTCTAGAGTATTTACTACCTGACCAAACTTTGTAAAGGAACTGACCATGGCTGCATCCTTCTTGATTTGGCAATTGTGGAAAAAATTTTAGCTCTTGGGAGTGAACAGTGAAGCTAAGACCTGTGGCTCAAGAAGGACACTTACCTGGTATTGACTCTTGAGAGACTGAAATTCATGATATGTTAGATTGTATCTCCTAGAAATAAAAAGGACTAAGGTGTGATATTGAGATATATATATATATATATATATATATATATATATGGCTTTCTATGATGAATGTATTCAGTATGCATTGCAAACATGTAGTAAAATATATATATAAAAAAAGAATGTATCACCAGGTGTGATGGTGCACACCTGTAATCCTAGCACTTAGAAGGCTGAGGCAGAAGGATTGCTGTGAATTCAAAGCCAGCCTGGGCTACATAGAGAATTCAAGACCAGCCTGAATTACAGAGGAAGACCCTGTCAAAAAGAAGAGAGTATCTCATAGCCCATCCTTAACTCCTTAGTTTTGTTTTCACTAATTAGGGTGCCGAGGATTCCCAGGCACATTTTTTGAGTTGTATTTAAGGGAAGCATAAACATCTGGGTCTTTGTCTTTGTGTAATTGTAGTTCTTTTTTTATTTTTTCTCCTTCAGACCAAAGAAAAGTATGGGAAAGAATGCAAGGTAAGTAGTTTACTAAGAAGTTATGATTACTCCCCTACCCCTTTTCTTTAGCAAACTAGCCTTCAACTTACTGAACTTTGAGAGCCTCCAATAAAAATCAATGCTGTACACCTTTCATCACTGATGTATTTGTTGACTGGTAACTATCATAGGAAATAAGAAAATGACCCCTCTAATGCAGAAGCTAATACTTAATAACCCAGGGTCCATGAATTGACCTTGAAGATTTGTTCCTGTACAAAGTGATGTGTCATCATGCATGTGAGCATTTTAGCTGAGGACAAGGTCATAGCTCTCATGTCTCAAAGAATTATTTGATGTTCCCCACTCGCCCATCTTAAGAGATGAGCGAGGATCTGATTATTAATGTGCTTACCCGTAGACTGGAAAAACTTTAACTTTGTAAATATTTTCACTTTTGTACTGTGCAAGTTTTTCAATTACTGGGTTGAAACATCAGATGGCATTTAGACTAGGTGATTCCTAAGGGCTCTTCTAAACCCTAGATTAAGGAATTGTTTCTTAAATATCCTACTATTACTAGACCGCCTGGTTTGATTATCCAGGTCAGAACATTAACACATCTGTCTTGTGTTCAGATCTGTGCCAGGCCATTCACAGTGTTTCGCTGGTGTCCTGGGGTCCGCATGCGCTTCAAGAAGACTGAAGTGTGCCAAACCTGCAGTAAATTGAAGAATGTCTGTCAGACCTGCCTCTTAGACCTAGAGTATGGTACGTCTGCCATGTCTAATAGATCTGAAGGCGTACTAGTGCCCACTTCCGTCTCTGCTTCTGATTCCACTGCCAGGAAAACAATCGTAATTAGACCTAGGCCACTCTAAAAGCATCTTGAACAACAGTAGGAACTTAGGGAACAGTTGGGAAACAACCACACCTAGCCTCTTCCTCTGTAGTCAAGGTGAGGTAAAAGGCATTTATCCTATGATAAGTAATTTCTTGGCCTTGTGCTTTTTTTTTTTTTTTTTTTTTTTTTGTCTTTTTCCTTTTTATCGGTACCGGGGATTGAACTCACGACTGCCTGCTTGCAAGGCAGGCGCTTATGCCGCTGAGCTAAATCTCCAGCCCCCTTTATTCTTGATCTAAACTTTTTTTTTCCTCCACAGTCCCAACCAGAAACTCATAGACTAATTATTTATTGGGTTTTTTGTTTGTTTGTATTATGTTTTCTTTGGTTTTGTTTTGGTACCAGGGATCAAACTCATGACCTAGCGCTTGCCAGGCAGGCACTTACGCCACTGAGCTAAATCCCCAGGCCCCATACATTGGGTTTTGTTTCAGCTGTGTTGTTTTTTTGTTGTTGTTATTGTTTTGGTTTGGTTTGGATTTTTGAGACAGGGTGCCACTATGTAGTTTTGGCTGATATTCAACTCACGTGTAGCTAAGGCTGACCTTAGAACCACAGCAATCCTCCTGCCCCAGCCTCTCTTGTGCTAGAATTATAGGTGTGTATCGCCATTTCAAATGTTTTGTTAGGACCAAAATGTATTTTGGAATTTTTTTTTTAACTTTCTCTCTCTCTTTTTGAGAAAAGTAAGTTAGCAACAAAAATTTCTATATAATAACAATATACACTTTCCTTTTTCATTTCATTTAACTTGCTAAAGTTACTCTACTGATCAGACTGTTATTATTTATATGTTAGAAGAATTCTGGTCCTAGTGTACAGTGATCTTTATGTGACTTTGACTAGCCATAAGTTCTCTAGGACCAACTTAGAAATAAAGTTTTATGTTTATTTTAAATTGTGTTATAGTAGATGCTAGCTACATTATTTTGACTATAACTCAGTGTTTTTCTTTCTTTTTTTTTTTTGGTCTTTTTGAGGCAGAGTCTCACTATTTAATTCAGGCCAGCCTTGAGCTCATTTTACAGCTCAGCTTGATTTCAAACTTGCAACTATCCTCCTGCCTCAGCCTCCTGAGTGGTGGGATTACAGGAGTGTGCCACCACGCCCAGCAACACAGTGTTTTTCATTTAAAAGGTTTTCTAAAACCTGTGTTCAAAGGATGTGATAGCATATACCTTTAATCCCTGCACTCTGGAAGCTGAAGCAGGAAGATTGCCACAATAGTTGGACTACATAGCAAGACTCTGTCTCTAAAAAACAGTGCCCTTCATGAGATTTCACAATAGCCCAGTAATTTGTGTAATTTCTTAGAATGCTATGTAGCAGTATTGTGCTGATAGTACTGAAGAGTTTGAATAATGATGTAATAACATCTCAGGTACCAAGTAGAACAGAGAAAGAAAGGGTGCTGCTGTATTCTGTGCGTGTATCTAGTTGTGGATGTGTCTTCATATGTGTACATCTGAGATTTTCATCGATTTCTTTGCAATAGGCCTGCCCATCCAGGTTCGAGATGCAGGACTGTCTTTTAAAGATGACATGCCAAAATCAGATGTCAATAAAGAGTACTATACACAGAATATGGAGAGAGAGGTATGCTAGCAGGTGGTTTGGTTTTGTTTTGTGTTATGCTTGAGGTGCTGGGGATTGAGATCTGGGTCCTTGAGATCCATGTCTTTGTGTATTTGACAATCCTGATGAACTGACTATAAATTTGTTATCCCATGTAGATTTCTAACTCTGATGGAACACGGCCAGTTGGCATGCTGGGGAAAGCCACGTCCACCAGTGACATGCTGCTTAAACTGGCCCGGACCACACCCTACTACAAAAGGAATCGGCCCCACATTTGTTCGTTCTGGGTGAAAGGAGAGTGTAAGAGAGGAGAGGAATGTCCGTACAGGCAAGCGCTGGGCCACAGTTTCAGTATTGGCTTTTGAATATGATTAGTTGCATAAAAAATGGAACATGCTAGCTATAACTATTTGTGACTTATAATCCAGGGCTTTTGCCGTTAGCATAATGTTTCATGTCTTAGGACTGGTAACTTTATAATAGCTTGATTAAATTGAAGTTTTTACTTATGACTATGTCAGAGAAAACTAAATTGCTATGCCAGGTAAGATAAGTGGCTGATCCTAAAAATTTCTGTCTGAAAAGTCAGCTCAAAGTGTCCTGTAAATAGCTTGATTCTCAGTATGTACTCAAAGTCAGAATAAGAGCAAACTTTTTTTTCTTTTAATGGTTTTTTTGAGACAGAGTCTTGCTGTGTATTTCAGGCTGACCTTGAACTCACTGTGTATCTCAGGCTGGCATAGAACTCATGGAGATCCACCTATCTTAACCTCCTGCATGCTGGGATTACAGGCCTGGCTCTAAAGATTCTAAACACAGACTCTGAAGACTGTGTTTCAGTTAAGACTGCCAGGCATCTGAGTTAGGAATTCTTAACCTGGCTTGGGGAACCCCACTCCACAAAAAAATAATATATGCTTTTTTTAGGGTGGGGTCTAAATAACTGGGCATGGTGGTGTATGCCTGTAATCCCAGCACTTGGAAGGTCACCATGATTTCAAACTCAGTCTAAGCTACATAGTGAGACCTTGTCTCAAAAAAGTTTTTTTTTTAAATGGCTCGTTAGGGGGTGGTAGCACACACCTGTAACTCTACCACATAGAAGGCTGAAGCAGGAAGATCGTAGTAAGTCCAAAGCCAGCCTGAACTACATAGTGAGAACCTAACTCTAAAAAAGCATTGATTCAGGAATAACCTTTTGTTTAGGGGTGGATCATGCCAGAAGTATTTCTTTATGAGTGAAGTTGCAGCCATTAATGGCCATATAAATGGATTCTAGGAGGTGAGAATTCTGTGATACAATCAGTCCCTTGGTATTAGCTCTATTTTTGGTAATTATGTTTTGGTATGGCATGGTTTCCAATTTAAAGAACATTTCCGGATGCATATTTGGGATTTTACTATATAGCTTCTGTTGGCAGATAACATTTCCCCCTTTGTTTCATCTGTATGCGTTCTTCCTTCATAGACATGAGAAGCCTACAGATCCAGATGATCCCCTTGCTGATCAGAACATTAAAGACCGGTATTATGGAATCAATGACCCTGTAGCAGATAAGCTTCTAAAGCGAGCTTCCACAATGCCTCGTCTAGACCCCCCCGAGGATAAGACTATCACCACGCTGTATGTTGGTGGTCTAGGAGATACCATCACTGAGACAGACCTCAGGTTTGTGAGTGTAATTTTAAGAACTTTTTGCTTTTGAAATAATTCATTTGCAAAAATAAAGGCAAGCATGATAATTTACATAAAGTACATGTTTCTTCAGCTCCTCTGTAGTTATTATCCTGCTGACTCAAATGTTCATAGAATTGGCCTTTCTGATGCCAGAGAAGTAATGTTCACAAGGAGTGCATACCCATATGGTAATGCTTACAGGGGAACTAATAGCCAACGAGACTCTGAAGACTGGCCTATAACCAAGTATGATTAAGTATGTAGAGGAGGGGCAGCTTTGTGATTCTAAAACTCGTAGTTTAAACTGTTGGCTTTTTTTTTTTTTTTTTTTTTTTTTGGTATTGGAAATCAAACTCAGGACTTTGCACTTGCTAGGCAGATGCTTGTGCCACTGAGCTACACCCTTAGCCCAAACTGTTGGCTTTTAAAAACAGGTTGATATGTGCTAAGTTTGTATTATTTTTGGCTTGTATTATGCTTGACTAGATGAAACATCTGGGCAGATAGGCATGGAATTGCCTCTTCCAAAGACTGAAAAAAAGCCCTGTAAGTTTATACTCTGCCTTTGGTAGACTGTCTCCATTAAACGGTATCTAAGTGAGATAGATGTCCCCCAGGAGTCCTCAGACTAGAGAGTAAGTTAGTCTTTCTTGTTCTGTTTTGATTTTTTTTTCAAGCTGAAACTTTTTTTTTTTTTTGTCTTTCTCCTTTTTTATCAGTACCGGGGATCGAACTCACCACCACACACTTGCAAGGCAGGTGCTTATATCACTGAGCTAAATCCCCAGCCCCTAAGCTGAAACATTTTTAAACATTCTTGGTTTCTGTGTCATAAGAGCTAGTTTGCCAAAACCACATTTACGTGTTAGGGCGTAGTGTCCTTAAGGAACCTGTTAGAGCCCTCATCTTCCGTGGGAACACTCCTGAGACGAGTGCTTATTCTCCCGGCTCTGTCAGCAGCAGCACATCAGGGCATGATATGGAGGGCAGTACTGTAAGTGGTCAGGCACATCACTAGGGGCCCATCTGTCCTGTCACCACTGGTCAGAGTTCATTATCCACGTCCAGTCCCTGGGGCAGGTCTGTGTCGTAAACCCACCTTTCTCTGCCTGTGTCTCCTCAGAAACCATTTCTACCAGTTTGGAGAGATCCGGACGATCACTGTTGTACAGAGGCAGCAGTGCGCTTTCATCCAGTTTGCCACAAGGCAAGCTGCAGAAGTGGCTGCTGAGAAGTCCTTTAATAAGTTGATTGTCAATGGCCGCAGACTTAATGTGAAATGGGGAAGGTAAGAATAAGACTTTAAAAATACCTTTTTTTTTTTTTTTTTTCCGGTCTTTTTGAGACAGGGTCTTGCTATGCAGGTCAGGCTGCCCTTTAACTCACTTTGTAGCCCAGGCTGGCCTAAAACTTGCAGCAGTCCTCCTACTTTAGTCTCCCGAATGCTGGGATTACAAGCATGTACCACCATGCTCGGCTTAAAATATCTTCATTAAGATTTTTACGAAACTCATTTTCTGGCGATTAGTAAGTTCTTGCTAGACAGGCTTGACTCCATAGGCTACTTAGTAAAAAACATTGGCTGGCATTTGATTTCTGTGAACATGATTCAGAGTTTTGCTGTAATAATGTGCCTCTGTGAAGATCCATGTTTTTAGCCCACTATTACAGGCCAAGTATAACGCCCAGGCGTAAAAGTTGCATTTAGGGTTTGCAGTGGAATGAGACCTAGATTCTGCCCTCAGTTGGTTGTCTGGGGGAGATGATGAAACAGAATAGCTATTTTTTAAGCTTGAAGGTTATGATTATATAAGTGAGACACAGGTAATTGCATAAGAGAAGCATAGGCAAAATGCCCTAAATTTAAAGTTTAAAGGGGGAACATGCCAGACATAGTAGTGCACACCTATGATCCCAGCACTTGGGAGGCTGAGGCAGGAGGATCACCGTGAGTTGAAGGCCAGCCTATACTACCTGGCGAGAAAATGAGAGGGGCATTTTTTCTAGTTTGGAACTAGGTAGGATCTGATTAATAGTATCAGGTCCCTTTATGAAGTCCTCCTGACATGCTAAACCCTGCTACATAGATAAATGTTGCCTCTTCTAGTATTTATAATAGTCCTAGCAAGTTTCAAACCTAGATCTTTCTGCATTCATGGCAAGGAGTAAAGGATTCCCCCTTTTGATGGAGGAATATGACAAGCAGGGCTTTGAGTCAGGGTGGAATGAAATGTTGATATCTGCATGCGTGGGTGTCTCTCAGGTCCCAAGCAGCCAGGGGTAAAGAAAAAGAGAAGGATGGAACCACAGACTCCGGGATCAAGCTAGAGCCTGTTCCTGGGCTGCCAGGAGGTGAGTGCAGACTTCCCGCTACCTCAGAAGCTGTCTGTCCTGATGGCTGTGTTAGAAGAGACCCACATGTGGTGCACGTGGCCACAGCAGGCTGTTTGTGTCTTGAGTTCACCATCGCTACTTGGAGGATTTAAAGATGGCAGAAACGACATCACCAGTTGTCTTTCCTTCTGAGTGCTACTTTCTCTCCTCCAGCTCTTCCACCTCCTCCAGCAGCAGAAGAGGAAGCCTCTGCCAACTACTTCAACCTGCCCCCAAGCGGTCCTCCTGCAGTGGTGAACATTGCCCTGCCCCCGCCCCCTGGGATTGCCCCGCCCCCACCCCCAGGTAAGGATCCTGTTGTTCCTTAAAGTCCTACAGTTCACCATACGGTCTAAAGCAACTGAGTCCCCTGTGTTTGCCCTGTAGACATCTACAAGTGAAGCTGATAGGTTGAGATTCCCGCCATGTCATTTTTTCCCCAACCTCCCAAGGAGAAAAAAACCACCGATTTTCTAAAGAGCTAAGTATGAGAATAAGCAGGGTACAAGTATTGGGTTACAGTGATCTGCCATCAGTTTGTCCCTTTTCCTAAACTAAAGCCTAAACTAATAGTACCATAGAGCACTATTGTTCAAAGCATGGATGGTGGGCAGATGTCATTTCACAAAGTGTTAATTACTTGTCTACAACAAGATACAGAGCTTGTGCCAGGATATAAATCTCTGAATCACTTACTTCATTAGAAAGTCTTATTACAAGACAAATTGATAAATCAGCAGGGTGCGCGGTTGCATAATTGACTTAATTTTGGCCCAAGTTTGTTGTCTTGTCAGTGGCCAGTAATAAATAGTTCAGGGATCTCCTCTTTGTGCAGCACTGCCCTAGAGTGTGTCAGTGAACAGCCGGGGAGCCGGTTCTCCTTGGTAGAGAGCCAGATGCCTTCCATTCTCATATCGAGCACTGAGGTTAATGTTGGCAGGGTCTTACCATAGGCCTAATCTCTTCCTCATCGTCCTGAGTGAATTCCATCTGGTAGGATTTGGTATATTCAATGCACAGCAGATGCTCAGATGATGTCTGGTAGATATGCTGAGTCCTATGGAGTATTCTGGACTGACAGGAAAGATTTCAATACCCAGGAAATAACTACAGATAGACAGATGGACATTCCTAAGTAAGTGGTCTGACATTACTTGACATGTCAGCTTTAATTGATGTGTACATGATTTTGATTTTAGCAAGGCTCTGGGTTTGAAAGGCTGTTAGGGGAACTTCAAGCCTAACAGATGTGTTCTGTCCTATGCACAGGTTTTGGGCCACACATGTTCCATCCAATGGGACCACCCCCTCCTTTTATGAGGGCTCCAGGACCAATTCACTACCCTTCTCAGGATCCTCAGCGGATGGGAGCGCATGCCGGAAAACACAGCAGCCCCTAGCACATTATCACTACTCTGGAGCTCTGTGGAAGGAAGAGCGCTTTAAAATCCCAGTACATGAATATTGGAATAAATACAGTTTTCCTGCTTTTGTAGTTTCCACGGTAGCTGAATGTGTTCAGATGTGAGCAGTTGGAAAATGACAGCCATGCTTCCTTAATGTATTCAGAGGATCACTGGACCTCAAATAAGCTGCCATGAGCACAGCTGAGCACAGCTGGCTACTTTATAACGTTACTAAGAAACCCAATGTCCATTTCCCTCAGACTTGTACAGGGACAAGCAGATGAGTCAACTGGCGTATCCAACAGAGTTGCCATCCCAATTATATGTTCATTTTGTACCTTTTCTGGTGAGGGGCAAAAATAGGCCTGCAGTAAAAAACCTTTTGACCATTTTTATTACTATTTGGTATTTTCTTTTTTATCATCTAAAAAAATTAGTACTAATCATTGTAGTGGCATAAGTGTGATTTAAGGATCTAACTCTTTTGAAGTCACACCCTCAGAGAGACGAGCAGAAACCAATACCCAGCACAGCCCCAATTTTTTTTTCTCAACTATTACAGGAATCTGATAGTTTTATTTCTTTCCACCATCAAAAGAAAAAAAGACACAAGTAAAAATTATTTTTTTCCCATCAATCAGATGGAAATACAAATCTTATGGAGCTGTGTATCATTGAAGAAACCTAGTGTCTGGGATGAAATTATTTTGAACAACTTCTATAAAACACTTTAACAAACTGAGAAAAAAAGCTTCGGAGTATGTTTGAATGGAAGACCTGTGACGTACAGCTGCAACTCTGATCTTCAGCATTCACCTTTGTGTGTCTTCAACGTCTCATTGTAATCCCCTGCTTCTGGGCAGGGCACTATTTGGTCTTAGAATGTTTGGATATAACTGAACTGTAGATGTAAGGGAACTTTGATGTGTTGTATTGTTTTTAATTAAAACGGGTCAGTTTTCCAAAAGTTGTTGGCTTCTAGATCTCTGTATTCTTCGTTTTTGGTAGCTGAATTTCAGCTCAGTGGACGTTAGAAACAAATTACATATAAGCAAATTTTCAAAATCCTGGTTTAGACTTTCATAATCATTCCATGATGGTGAAAAGGTTCTAGCATCTTTAGTACTCAAATTTGATTGTGAGACTGAGATCAGAGTATACTTAGTACAGAGCCTGGCATGTGGTGGTGGATAATTATAGCTTTAAAAGTCTCTCACAGGCCAGGGATTTAGCTCAGCTTAAGCGCATGCCTGGCAAGCCCAAGTTATGAGTTTGGTCCCTGGTACCCCCCAAAAAAGTCTTTCGCTGGTGCACATACTCTGTTTATTTTTGAGACAGAGTTTTGCTATGTAGTGCAGGCTGGCCTTGAACTCATTTATGTAGCCCAGGCTGGTCTCAAACAGTGATCCTCCTGCCTCAGCCTCCTGAATGCTAGAATTACAGATGTATACCATCATGCCCGGCTTGAGCACACTCTCAAATCTCACATTTAGTCCAGGCTGAGCTCTGCACTATGTAACTCAGGCTGGCCTTGAACATGCGGCAATCTTCCTTGGCCTCCAGACTGCTGAGATTACAGGTGTGCCCCATTTGCAAGTGGCCAGGAGGCTGAGGTAGAATTGACAGTTTAAGCCTGGAGACTGGAGACTTTGTCTCAAAAAAAGAAAAAAAGCCTTATACAGCTCACTTTAAAAAGATACAGGCAAAACGTATCTATAAAACCATTTTGTTCTTGAAGCCGGTGCCATGTCATTTTTATCTAACACATATACTTCTGGGATGGGCAAGCACCCACTCAGAAGAGTAACTTTCCCTCTTCAACTTGTTCATTCTGTGCCAGTGTTGGCCCGAGCCCCCTGCCACTCAGATGTTGATGCCCACATTCAGAGGGGTGCCTGCCACTGTCCAAGCGTCCCTCCATCAGTCAGTTAACAACCACAATTAACCAACACACTGCTTGAGGATAGTTACTGCTGGAAAGTGGCTGTTCTGAGAATTTTTATTTTCTTCTCCATGTCTGTTCTCATACTCTTTTTACCTAATATGCATTAGGGGCCCTCTGGATATGTCTAGTCTGCTATTCATCTGTTCATTAGTTTTTTTAAAAAAGAAGGTATTATTTTGCTAAAGAAAGAAAACACAATGTACAAGTTAAAAAAAAATTTTTTTTGGTACCAGGGATTGAACTCACGACCTTGCACTTGCCAGGCCATTTGCTTATGCCACTGAGCTAAATCCCCAGCCCATAAGTTAAATATTTAAAGTGAACATCTAAGTAATTATCAGCCTAGTCTAGAAATAGAAAACTTGCACTTACCCAGAGACGTTTATTACGTCTCTTCACACTCACACGTCTTTCCCTCCCAAAGTTAACTGGTACTCTTGACTTTTACATTAAGCATTTCCTGGCATCAGTAAACATGTATTTGCCTTCTCTTGTTTATCATTATGTTACCGAGATATATAGCCATGTAGTTGGACGTATTGAGTTTATTCACTGCTGTTAAGTATTTTCAGGTTTTTCAATGTTTTGGTTAGTCCTAGACCTTTCCATTTTTATAAAGAACAAAAAGAGGCAAAAATGTTGACTTTTAAATAAAGGTCTTATTAGGCCCCCAAATTCCATGGAAGGTTAATTACTGGCATTTTTAGATTTGGAATTTTATTTGTCAAATAAAGAATAGTACATTACATACAGTGCAGTTCCTTTTAACACAAAGACACAGCTATGTACTTTGCATACGAGTACAGGTACATAGTCACAGAATCCTGTAATTCTCATGGCTACCTCTCATGGCAAACAAATTAAGAATGCAGGAAAACACGGATGTGCATGAGGGGCTGTGTTGGTCAGATACTTTCACACGTCATTTCTCATTTTTTTTTAAAACATCAGCAAAAGAAGATCAGGAGAAAAAGGAATGAGGATCTACTTTTGGGTAAAGGCATCCCCTTCCCTTCCTCAGGCTCTCTTCTGTTCATGGCAACTGCAGTTACCTGCAGAGCCCTACAGGACCAACTCAAGCCATGCCACGGCCAGTCTTCCACTTTTCACATACTAATGTTCTTCAGCTCACAGAAACCTGGCTTTAACCAACAACCCTCAAATTCAAGAGAACACATCAATTACAAGCGGTCCTAAGTGACAAGCTACTGGCCCCAGAATCCAGCAGGAAGGGACACCTCAGAGTGAAAGGGAAATGTAACCACTGTCTCACTCAGCATGGAGTCCAGGAGGCAGAGGCCAAAGGAATTCCTCTCCAAAGTGAGCGCTGCGGTGATGAGCTGCTGTTGTTCAGTGCCAGCCTTCCTGGACGCAATGGCACGCTGGGAGCTTGCTTTTGGGCAGTATCCACTGCAGGACATCTGTTCCAGTCTAGAACAGTGGCCTCAAGAAGCCTAACACTGGGCCCTTAACGAATGTGTGCTTGCTGAACTCTCAACAGCTCTATAAAAAGCTTCTGCATTTATTCTCATCTTTGGATGGAGAAACAGGCTCAAGATGTGAAATGACTTTCTTAAAGTCACATGACTCACAGTAATAGAATTAGAACCCAGCCCTCTAATCAGATACCCCACCTTCCACCCTTAACCTCTAAACTGCAAGGTAAGGCACCAACATCAGTGATGACAGGGTGAGTGGGCATTGGCTTGGACACCTAGGACAGTAGAAATATTCATCCCCTCAACCAGACAGATTATCATTCTGACTGCCCTACACAAACCACTCCCTTCCTCTGAGCCTGGATATCCACATCTGTAAGGAGGGAGAAAAGGATGGTGGAGTCACACTGAGAATGAGGAACAGAATATAGAGAACCTACCACCAGCCCTCACATTGGGACCCTCAATAGAGTGGAGGTGCCGCCACCACCACCTCCACCAACGGGCCTGCTCAGCATGCATGGTGGGAAGGATTCCTTGTAAGAACCCCACTTTGCACCCATAAGGTACAAGACAAACCACAGACAGGTGACAATGGAGTCACTTAGAGCACAGTTACTAACAGACTCCCCAGTGCAAGGAGCTCTGATGCTGCTGGTGGAGGCAGGCCAGAAATCTGCTTCAGGACCGACATCCCCCAGGTAGTTTTGAAGCACATCCGCATTTGGATTCTACTAAACTTTGTGACCGCTGAGGCCATTTTCAGTCACAGTTTGTGCATGAAGATTCTTCATAGACTTTTAAAAGTACTGTCCACAAGTCTTGGCTCCAGATATTACCTGAGTTCCCCGATTCTGGGGAACTGAAGCTTCAGGCTGGGGCTACAGCTCGTCAGACTCTGGGAGGTTGCGTACCCAGCCCTGAGCCACCCTATTGAAGCTCGGTCTCAGGCGCAGGAGTTCCAAGCCATCGAAGGGCTCCAGGACAAAGGGGGTGGCTGCCCTGGGAATGGCCTCCCCTATGAGGGGTCTTCCAAATGGCACCGGGGTCCTGGGGTAAGAAAGCAACAGGAGAGGAGGGCTGTGTGGGACAGGGATGGCAGGACACTGATGGACAGGTCACCACATAGGACCCCTCTCTGACTGCTCTAGACCTCAGTTTCCCCTTCTGTAGTGCAAAGGTTCTGCTAACTGGTGTCTCCAGCTCTACCCTTCCCCAAGTCTGCCCCTAGTGGTACGGAGTAGGACTGAACACTTCAGAGTGAGAAGTGGTTTATCTGAGGCAAAACTCCAGGCTCCCCGAAGAGCAGCATGTGAATTTGGGGTTTTTCTTGCTCTTATCACCTCCCCTTAAAATACCCACACCCTAGAATAAGAAGGGAGGTTGGAAACAGCAGTGAGAAACAGGAAAATGTAAATTACAACAGATACATGTCATTTCTGGCCTGTAAGCCTGCCAAATGAAAGAATTTGATGAGGGCAAAGTCAATGAGATAGAGGCAAAGTGTCATTCATAGTCATCCAGTTAGCAGGCGATCAGTGCGGCTCTCTTGGAGAACAACTTGGAAGGATCTTCCTAACCTGAAAAGGTGCAAACTCGGTCTCTAAGCATAACATTTAGGCAAGCAGGTGTGTGTGCTTGAGGAAGCAGATGGGCAGATTAGCAACACACAGAAGCGACTCATGAGTACGCTGGCAGAGGAGCGGGCAAGAGATAATACACCACGCAACGGGATGCTACTCAGCAGCCCCAAGGGTGGGTACTCACGAGCACACTGTTGAAAGGACAAGTGCAGACTGAAATGCAAAGTACTACATTACAGCACCCCCATATACCCCCAAAACAATGTCTGCAGGTCTGCAGCCAACCTGACAACCCTGTTATCTCTGGAAAGGGGTTTAGGATTGGAGAACACAGGTACTCTGCCTTTATTTGTAGTTGCTTAATTTTTTCTCAAAGAGAATACACAAATGGTGGTCAAAAATACAGTCAATATTTAAGCTTAAGTTTAGCAAAGTAAAAGACATTGCCATTAACTTTCCCTGAGTACTCTCCCTTGCTTTGAATACACACATGCCATCATTCTTTCCATTTTCTGAACAGTTCTGAAAGTCCTCTTTTATGTCTTTTTGAGGTTGCCCCAGTGTCTGAAATCAATTGAAAATATCTGCAGTTAAAAAAAAATAAAAAGGGGCTGGGAGTTTAACTCAGTGGTATAAGCGCCTGCCTTGCAAGCAGGCGGTTGTGAGTTCGATCCCCAGTACTGATAAAAATGAAAAAGACAAAAAAAAAAAAAAAAAAAAAGAAAAGAAAATATCTGCAGTCGCCTCAGTCTCTGAAGTCAACTCAAAATGTTTACAGCAATGTCTGTCAAATAAAAACGCTATGGCAAATCCTCATCTATTTTATTCATCAGATCTGGAACCGTGAGACCGCTGGCTCTTCCACAAAGTCAGAATGACAAAAAAAGGCAAATGTTCTGAATTAATTTAGGACATCAAGGCAGCCAGGATAGTACATCCAAAGACACACAAAAGAGGACTTCCAGAACTGCTTCAAACTATTAAGAACGAGATGTGTGTCTAAAGTAAGGGAAAGTACTTTGAGGAGAATTAATGGCAGTGTGTATATGTTTGGTTGTTTTTTGTGGTTGTAGTTTTGGTGTTTTTTTTTTTTTTTTTTGGTCTTTATGCAGTTTAGGCTGACCTTGAACTCACTTTGGGTTTCATTATGCAATTTAGGCTGACCTTGAACTCACTTTGTAGCCCAGGCTGGCTTTAAACTCAGAAATGATTTTCCTGCCTCAGCCTCCAGGGTGCTAGGATACAGGCATGTGCCACCATGCCCCACTAATGTGTCTTTTACTGTAATAATTTTTTAACGGAAGCGTGCAGTGTATTTTTGAATCATACTTCATGCCCTGATGCCTGTGCATGTGTGTACAATTTTAAAACCATTTTTTTTTAACTTTAAGGAAAATAAAAAGCATTCTTTCTGTAGTACTTTTCCTGCAGCAGAAACCAGAGGGAAAAGGGGAATGTTTGGCTCTGAGCAGAGCCAAGACCCTGCCAGGAAAGCAATGCTGCCTGGACCTACCCAGCTTGGGCCACAGCATCCAGGCCCTGCGGGAACAGGCTGGGCAATGTCCAACCTGGGTAGGCCCCATATTTGGGCCACTGACCAGGAGCCCAGAGCCCTGAATTCAGAGCCCTGCTTGCCTATCAATACTGCTGTGTTCTTTGTCTGTACCTCAGTTGCTACTGTTCCAGGACTACCATGACCCTCTGCTTCTGGTAGGAGTATGCCACAGCCAATCACTCCGAGGCATGCAACGGCTGGGAAATGCCCCCAAAAGCTGGCCGGCTTTGAAGCTGGCTGCCAGGATACAATATCTGTTGAGGGTTTTAGGCAGTCCTGCCCAGTGGGAAACTCAAGAATGTCTGCCAGTGGCCTGCAGTTCACAGTGCCAATTCTTCCCGTCAGGGCCCTCCCTGGCTATTCAGCTGTCTGAAGGCAATCATGACCTTCCTGAGCCAGCTCTTTTGGAGGCCACCCAACCCTGTGTGTGCTCCTGCCCCTGCTCCTGTCCTTCCTCTTAGGACCTTATCTCCAGGCCTCGGCAACCTGGCACACATCCCTCTTTTTGTCTGGTGGTCTCCACATGTGGTCTAAGCAGATGCCAGAAGAGCTGGACCACAGCCTTCTCTCTGGGGACTCCGCTGTTCCTTACTGAATGCAGCCAAAGCAGAAAAGCATACATCAGACCAGCGAGACCAACTGCAATGGAAATATATCCCCAGCCCAAAGGCCTCCTCCAGGCCCAGATGCAGTCTTGACTCCCGTGGTTGGTTTCTGGCTCTCAGGGCAGAACATTAAATTGGTCCCTTGCAAGTTCTTGCCTGCCAGCTTCTCCAGTCACCATGTCAGGCCGTAAACAGCAGGGGTAGACGTAGCTACTGCTTACCCAGAGCTTAGTACTTGCCAGAAACTTTCTCCACAGCGTCTCTTGTCATAGCAACCTTATGAAGCAAGTTAGGATACAGGTACAATGGAAGCTCAGAGAGGTAAAATCACTTGCAATTCAGTCCTGAAGTCCACAGTGCGGCCCCACTAAACCAGTATAAGCCACTCCTCTGTGGCCCACACCCCTAGTGCCACTCCTTGCTTGGGGTCACCTCAAAGCTACCTTCTAGGCCTTTTCCACACCACTGCTGAGACTAGCAAGAGGCTGGGCTGGCCTAGGACTTGTAAGATGGGGAGATCCCCTGGGAAAGGTCAGATTCTTATAATTTTTATTTTTATTTTAAATTTTTTGGTATCGCGGATTGAATTCACGACCTCGCTTTTGCCAAGCAGGTATTTAAGACCGCTGAGCTAAACCCCTGGCCTGAAAGGTCAGATTCTTGACAGCCATAATAAAGTGGCCCATAGCAGCTCTGGAGTCAGACCCGCCCTGCCGCGCTGTTTTGTGACTTTGGGCAGGTCTGGGAAATCGGGGCACCCAGCCCCTCCTGTTGGAGAGGGCGCACTTTCCCTACCCACTCCTCCCACGGCTAACCAACTGTTAGGGGCCGAGGCTCTGTTCCAGCAAGACCTCAAAGTTTGTCAGTGCTAGGGCTAGAGCTGGGACATGGAAACGAGGGCCCCAAATCCCACCTCCCGCCACCCTCGCACCCCAGCCTGGCCTTACTTATTGAAATTCCGATAGTCTCCGAGGCTGGGGGTGTGCCTCTGGCCCTCGAACGAGTAGTCCCGGTAGCTGACAAACTCCTGCCAGGGGCAGCGGTAACCCTTGGGTATGGCGGTGTGGTTGAACTTCTCGGGCGGGACGCTCTTCAGGGGCTCAGCATAGCCTGCGACGACCAAGCCCAGGGCGTGGGGCACGCTGGCGGCAGGGGGCACCCTGTCCGGTCCCCACCCCCACACCCCCAGCCTGAGGACCTGATGGGGCGGAAGGCCGGCCGGCTTTAGGCAAGAGGAGTGGGAAATGCTTTGCCAAAGTCGCCCTAGCAAAGGGAAAGGGGTCAGGCAACGGGGCAGAGCGGGGTAAGGGGACCCCGAGTTCCAGGCGCGGGTTCGAGGCCGGGCTCGCGCGCGCTGCTGCGGCCCTGTGGCTGTGTCGTGACAAGGGTGCGAGTGCGCGTGCGCGCGCGCTTTGCTTGCCTCGCCGTCGCGCGCCCCGCCCCCGTCCCGGACGCAGGCGCCGCTCACCTGGCGCCAGGGCGCTGGGGCTCCGCGCGCGCTGCTCTGCGGCGGCTGCGAGGTGGGCGCCCGCGGGGCCCCCGGGTGAGGCCGGGAGGACGTGGAGCTCCGAGCGGTAGTTCTGCCCCTCCGAGCGGTAGTTCTGCCCCTCCGGGCCGTTGACAACCTGGGCATCAGGTTGGGGATCAGAGACGGCAGGCCGCGTGGAGCTGCGCCTCCCGCGGGTCGCCCTCCGCGCTCACCCTCAGCGGCGCCGACGCCTCGGTCACCTTTCCCTTGGTGCTCCCGGCCAGGACCTGAGGGAGCAGACGAACACAGCTAGGCTCAGCGGGGCGAGAGGTCAGGATTTCCCCTCCACTCGGTGAAGGAGAGCGAAGGGGAGGAAGATGAGGGAGAACCCCAGGGCCCACTCCAGGCGGTGCGGGAGGTGTTAACAGTTTGCCCGGAGGCCGAGGATTCAGCTCAGCGGCCTAAGTGCCTGCCTGCAAGCACAAGGTCGTGAGTTTGATCCCCAGTACAAAAAAAAAAAGTTTGCCAGGGACAGAGGATTACACAATAAATATTCATTACTGATTACATATCGATATTTCCTCAGCCCCTATTTCCTTCTGTGTAGAGGCGGGGTGACACCACCTTAGTGTTCTCTGCACACAAAGGTGCAGTCTGCGGACGCCCAGCAAGATAGGTATCTGCGAGCATTGTCTTCATCACGTCATTCCCTCCCCGTCCTCTCCTCTAGCCCAGAAACTCAACATCTGAACTGCATGTTGAGTTTTCCAAGCCCCGCAGATTGTCCCAGGGCCTCCAGCAGTTTCCGCCTAGGATCAAACTGAAGCTGAACAAAATCCTGCCTGCCGCAGAGTGGACCCAGGACACAGAGCTATTCTTTCCCAATTTTTGTAGGCACCAGAGTGGGTCGCTCTACAGCTTGTCCCGCCCAACCCGCTTTATGTTTCCTGTCCGGGAAGATTAAAGAGAGCGTTTTTCAAGCACGCACCGCACCGCAGGGGCTCGCTGTGATGGGAACCTGAGGGACTCTTCTGGGACCAGAGGTCAACGGCCTGTGACTGTTCGGCTTTAGGCTCCCTCTGAGCCTCAGTTTCCCTGTGAGCTCAGTAAAAGCTTACTCACCACCTGCTGGTTGGCTGCGAGCTCAAACGTGAACCTCTGCACCCTGCGCTGCCTCTTCTGGAAGAGGAGAGATCCGCGATTGTTGCGCAGCGACAGCTCTTCTATCATCAGGTCCTGGGGCACGCTCACCTTCTTCCCCAGGTCCAGGGAAGGTTCTGCACGAGAGGTCGGGCGAGCGCTCACTACGTATCCCCAGGCCTTCCTGGCCATGGCCTCTGAAGCCCTGGGAAGAGCCCGGAGGGTGCTGTGTCTCCCCAGTCGCGCTGAACTGGGGATCATCGTTCTTTAGAATCTTTGCCCATCGGAGGGGCAAAAATGGTACCTTTGCCATCTGCTTGATGTTCGGTGAAGGTTAGAGTTGTTTCAGAGGTTCTTTGGCCATTTTTTTATTCCATAATTATTCTCCCTAGCTCATTGCCCATCAGGAAGCTAAGGAGAAATAGTCAGATTTTGAATACTTTTCTTAAAAGTTAGACACAGGCGTGAGGTATGAGAGAAACAGATGGCACTTTTTGACACTAGTGAATGACTTCATGGAAGACAATTTTCCACGTGAGAGGGCGGTGAGCAGGTCAGAATTAGATTCTCTTGAGGCGCCAGCAACTTAGAGCCTTCGCATGCATAGCTCAAAGTGTACAGTAGGGGGCGCTCTCCTACGAGACTAACACAGTGGCTGACCTGATTGGAGGCAGAGCTCAGGCAGAGGTGGGGACCACGGGGGACATGGAGGATTTCTAGAGCTCCTGACTGTCCTTAGTGGTTTGGGATCCATCCCCTACCTTTGTGCTTTCCACGCTAGGAAAAACTCATGCCTTTACATCTGACCATCAGGGAAGCTTTTCAGAGGGCTGGAGTGACAGGATAATGAAGACCTTGACAGGAGAGGCTACTTTGTGGGCAGCGTGGCCATGTTGCCCATCCTCTAAAATTAGATACAGGACTAGGAATATAGCCCACTGGTAGAGTGCTGCTGGCTTAGCGTGTGCAAGTCCCAGGGTTCAATCCTCATCACAGCAAGAAAAGTAATTTAATTAATTAAAGTGCACACAGGTTGATTGCCAGCTCTATAAATGGTCTTTTATGCTGGAAAAGAACAAGAAGAAAGGAGAATAAATAATGAGACCCCCACACTGAGTGCCGAGCCCTCCAACATTTAGACTGAGGAGAGAAGCCAGCCCCAGAGGCTGGGAAGGAGCAGTCAGTGAGCTGAGAGGAAATCTCAAGAGGGTGGCATCCTGGACACCAAGTGCTGGGTTTCAGGGCTGACAGAGTGACAATGGAATTAAATGCTGCTATGTCAAGTCGAATGAGGGCTGAACATTGACTGTTGGATATAGTAACACGGGGCTATAATAATCGTCTTTAAGTTTCTGTAGAGAATTTGGGTGTGAACACCTGTTGGAAAGGGTTCCAGAGTAAACAGGCAGGGAACAAGTTGAAATTCATAGTGCAGGGTAGTCCACGGGGCAACTGGCCCGGCTTTTCCTAACATGTGAATGACATGAAAATAAAGGGCAGATGTGTTATTTCAGATTAAAGGAGATTTAAAGAACATAGCAACCAAATAACAACACTGGCCCTTGTTTGGGACCTGATTAAAACAAACTGGAAAATTGGACAACTCTACTATGAGATTGGTTATTGGATATTATTAAATCATTGCTGCTAATTTTGTTCAGGGTGCACCTATTTTTGTGGCGTGCAAGGAAACATCCCTTTCTATTACTTTGAATGCATGCTGAGGAACTTGGGGAATAAAATGTCATGTCCCTTGATTTTAGTTCTGGGATCCAGGCATAAAAGAAGGACCTTGGAGATTTCTATGCTCCACTTTTGTGTGTATTTGACATAGGCATGATAAAATGTTTAAAAAGAGGATGGGGAGAAAAATACAGATCACTACTTGGGGGCTGTGCTTTCAAGGGCTGCGGCTGCAGCATCTGTGGGGTCAAGAGGAGCTCTTTGTAAAGAGATGATGGCATGTCTGCTGGTGATGGGAACACTGGACAGCAACTGGAGAAAGGAGGATTGTGGAAGGAACATCTTTGAGCCTAGGGGAGCAGGCAAGGTGTATCATGTCCAGCTAGAAGGGTTGTCCAGACAGAGGTGAGAATAGCCTGACCACCCTCACAGGCAGGAGAACAACATAAAGTGCAAGCAAGTAGGCAGACGTGGCAGAGGACACTTGAAGATGCTCTGTTTCAGTGACCTTGTTTTTCCCAGTGAAGCCAGGAGTAGGATCATTAGCTGGAAATGAAGATGTGGAAGGAGGTAGTGGAAGCAGGGAGAGAGGGGCAAAGTTGTCAAGGTCAGCTGAGCAGCACTGACCAGCCCCGGGCCAGGGACAGGAACTTGGCTACTAAAGGTGCTAAGGTGCCACAGGTGCTGTCACGGTTCATCACATTCTGTGGAGCCCTAAGCAGCCACTAAGAAAAGGAGGCAGACTTGTTTTTCCCATGCTTCCAACAAATACAAAAAGAGCGTTTTGTAAATGCTAAGAGCATACAGATAGCTACTGTACTCTGTATGTGTTGAAGTGGAGGAGGAGCACACATTTCAGGAGAATATGAACTCTTAAGATTCCATTGGTAATTAACAATGGATATATGTGCATGGTTTTAAAGGTTTGGCAAAGAGACATGCCAAATGTTAGCAGGGACTGTTTATGACATGCAGAAAGGAAAAGGGCTGGGAATTGTTTGTGCAGTTTGTTGTTGTTTTTGTCTTTTTGAGACAGGGTCTCTCTATGCAGTTCAATCTGGCTTTGAGCTCACTTTGTAGCCTCAGCTGGTCTTAAACTCACAACAATCTTGCTCAAGTTCTGGGATTACAGGCATGAGCCACCATGCCCGGCTGTAGTTGTTTTTAACAAGAAAGTGTACTGAATTCTTACAAATATGAAAGAACACTTGAAGACATAATAAAAGCCCCTCCCCATGATATTCTTAATTACTGTGCAGATGAACTGAGCTCATTAGCTTTTTTTTTAAAGATAAAATCTGTTTGACTAATTCTATTTCTAGGAATTCATTCTTAGGGAAGGAGTTGAATAAATATATGCAAGGAAATTGATTGCAGTGGAGTCTAAAACTGTGAAAGCTGGCGGTGGGGGGGTCCACCTTGGGCGGAGGCTGCCCAAATGTTCTCTGTTAGTTCACAAGTTCTACAGAGAACTTCTCAGAACAGAGCTGCTGTCACCCCTTCACCAGGCCGAGGGATTCGTGCTCCAGAGCCCACCCCCAGGCTTCCCACTGAACTTGGACTAGTGCTGAACCTCATCTTTGCCTAGCAGTTTCTCTGGTCTTTTCCTGGCTCGCTCCCCACCCCCTTCTCCAAGAAACCCCTTTCAACCAATCACTGGAATAAGACCCCTCAGATTCTTGAGGGTCCCACCAAGGCAAGCCTCATGACAGACACCAAGGCTTGGTCCCGGGCAAATGGCTTGTCCAAACTGGGGGCCAGACCTGAGGCAGTGAGCTACGGCCTGCCAGGCTGGAAGGACGGCTGTGGTGTGCTGCTAAGTGGAAATGAAAGACGCTGAGGGCCACCGCGTGCAGTACTTAGCCCATGTGTATATGTGTTTAGATAAACATGTGATATCTGAGCAGAAGAACTTATACAAATATGTTAAGTGGTTACTCCTATGGTTCCATTATAAGCAACTTTTTCATAGTAATGCATTTGTGCTTTGTTTGAATATTTTTAAAAATGAATGTATTATTTACATAATCATATAGAAGCAGCAGCTCTGGAGTCAGCAGCCTAAAGTCAAACTCCAGCTTCACTTATGTTCCACATCCCTGACAACCTAGTTCCTCTAAGCCTCCATTTTCCCATCTGCTGAATGGGGATATTACATAAATTATGGAATTATAGCGAGGCTCATATGACATATGGCAAAAAGGCTCCTAGCACAGTATCTGACACATAGTAACCAATGTAAGAAAGATAAAGGCTCACTATTACTATTATTTAAAATAGCTATTTTTAGGTGGTGAGACCATAAGATTTATTTTTCCCTCATTTCAAAATTGTTTTTAACTAGTACCTTAGCAATGATCAATCAGCTATATATTTGAGGTACAGCATAAATGTTGTTGAGGGAAGTCCATAACTAATTATCTAGACAAGAGCAGAGAGAGTGCATTGCCTGACTCTTCCAGTTAGGACATTAATACTTCACAAAATGTGCATATTTCAGCAAAGAAAATCACAGAGGGGAAAAAAAGCAAAAATCATGAACTAGGTTGAAAGGACAACACACATATGAAGTCACACAGCGTGACCAATGGTAACTTAGAACTCTGGTGGAGGCAAGTTGCAGGTGAACTCTTGGATGGCGCTCATCAGAGCGTGCTCAGGTCGCCTATTCTGTGATATCCAGACCCTAGCTCTGAAGGCAAATGTGCAGGCCCCACCAAGTCCACCAAATCAGAGTCCCTAGGGGCAGATACCATGCATCTTTATCTTTAATTAACCACACAGAGCCACCACGCTTTACCCTAAAGCTTGAAAGCACAACATAGTTAATTTTTAGATTACTTGAAATGTGCTAAAGTAATCCAAATAAGCGGACTCCAAAATTATGCTGGGAGTTCTCATCATGATCTTATTAAGCTGATTAATATGAATTTCAGATAATTTTGTCATGAGATGAACCATTTTTAAGTAAAATTCTTTGAGTCCAATTGGTTGGTTGCTCAGCTCTTTACCCTGTCTCTGTAGGACTGGATGCCCTAGGCTGTCCTTGGGCCTCTGTAGGACCTATAGTTACACCAAGCAAGGGTAAGTGCCACAGTGGGAGCAGACCTTCCAGAGCTCAAACTGGGGTCGAGGGCCAGGGCTAGGGTCACCTTCAAGCCAAGGCACAATTTGGGGCACCAAACCTCAGCTCCTGGTCTATGCACTAAGTGTGGGGCCCCTACAACCTCAGGAAGGACGCAGCCCAGGTGGCAGGTTCCACAGGCATCCCTTCCTGTCACTCTGGAATCCACACCTACGTGCCAGTCCAGAGGCCAGCAGGCCTGAGTGACAGGTCTGGGATGACAAGAGCAGTTTGAGAAAAGCACACACTAGGCCCAGCTTACCTGGCCCCATGACATCCCCCATGAGGGTCACCGCTGGATCCTGCTGCTCCTTGGGAATCATCCTAAAGAGAGGACGTTTCCACAAATGAGCTGGGTCCCCTCCTTCCTCCCCAGATCTCTTTCTCCCTAAGTCTCAGGTCCACCCAGCCCCAGCCGAGAGCAGCCTTGGTCCATTCCCAAGTCACAAGCAAGGGCTCTGCGGGCCGGGAGGAGTCTGTTGAAAGTCTGTTTGCAAAGAGGAGGCTGCTGAGGATGGGAGAAGAGCAGGAGTTGGCCCAACAAAATGAGAGCCACCTCCCATCCCCGCTAATTTCCACAGCGCCCTCTTCTCCCTCTTCTTCTTCCACCCCCCTTTCATTTCACGGCACTTTCTAGAAATCTTGGAGAATATTTACGAATCAAGTGAGCCCCAGAGCTCCAGACAACACTGCAGACCCCAAATCTAGAGTCCTTAATCACCCCAGCAAAGGAGGCAGAGGTCCTGGGCTCCCCGACAGCCCATCAGACTTTTCCATGTCCCCTCCTCCTGAAAATACCGCCTCCACCTGTGTCCCCCATACCTGCAGGGCCCCAGGTCAGTGGGCACTGAACTAGGCAACCTGACTCAGTGCACTTAACTTTTTCCAAATTTGTGAACAATGGTTCTCCAGCTCGCCTCAGTTTCCTCCCTGTAATTGAAGAAGATTAGGCTAAAGCACAGAGATCCACAGAGGGATGCAGGGCACCCATGAACTCCTAAAACAGTGTGCAGACCTGGGAGTGTCTGCTTGCTTTTGGAGAGAGGTGCATGAGATGATAGAGAATGCCCAATTGTTGATATGTAGACAGCTGTTGCTGGATAAACGCTCTCCTACAGAATGCAGGGGAAGGATCTCCAGCCCAGGCAGGAGATTGCTTCCATCCAGTGCCCATGACCCTGATGTCCTGAGCTGAGCTTGCACCTATGGCTCACCTTTAACTGCAGCCACTTGCTCTGCTTTTCATATAGAACAGCCAGAACTAAAGCACACACACCCCCACCCCGCCGCCAGCTCCAAGGCCCAGAGGTATGGAGCCCAGGCTTCAGGAGGCCCTACTCCCTAAGTCCTCTGCAGAACCCTATCCCTACTGGGGTAAAAGTGCTCTGAGAGCTGCCTGGTCCCTTCCACCCACTCCCCATGACTGCCCCAGCTCCCTTCAATTCTGGTACCTGAGAGGACAAGACCACGGTGGGCAGGAAGGAGTGTCCGACCCTCAAGATTAACACCTCTGACGGGAAGCTGAGTTGTGTGGTCGGTGTCTGCCTCAGTCCGCAGTCAGTGGTCAGTGAGTGGGTGGTGCCTTGCCAAGCTCTGGCTTCAGCTGACAAGAATCATTCTTGCCTTGTCTTGGGTCACAGCCTTATTTCGGGCTGCAACAGGAGCCGGGGCCAGATGCTAAAAGGACCAGGCCCTGGGGAAGACAGGTGCCTCGGCAGCAGGCCCTTGCAGACAGAAGGGCTTGTATTCATGGGCAGACTCTCCCACATCTGCACACATCAGAGTCGCCTGGAAATGCTGTCAGCTGCTGGTCACTTCAGCCTATTGACTGATGTGTGTTTAGTGCCTCGAATGGTACAGGATAGGAATTTGATTGGTATTTGTGCAATAAATGATGGCTGGATCAATGGATGGATGGGAAGGCGGATTGTCCCCCAATGTCTTCGCTTGACTTATGCTTTCTTCCCTCCCTCCTTTCTTCCCTCTCTTCCTCACTTTTTCCCTCTTTCCCTCCCTCGTTCCCTTCTCACATTCTCTCAGCCTCTCTCTATGGACTGAAAATAAATAAGGCAGGGCTCTGACCTCAAGGAGCTCAGCCAGCTCCAGTGCAGAGCAGTAAACAAGTCTTACGGGAAAGGCTCACAGGAGAGGCTGGGTGAGCAGTTAACCAGCTCAGCCGGAGGTCTGGAAGGCTTCCCCGAGGAGGAGACATTTGAAGTGGGCCTCGAAGGATGAGTGAGAGGTCACTAGGCAGAGAGGGGACAGGGCTTCATGAGCAGAGGACATAGCTTGTGTAAATATGACAAAGGGTTGGCTGGGGGCTGAGAGGCAGTGCTGAGAGCCAAGGCCAGACAGGTGAGCAGGCCCAGACCCCAGCAGGCTTTCCAGAGAGAAAGCAGGCTCTAAGGAACTTCCAGAGGGATGGAACAGGTGGAGTGCAGTGGTCAGGCTGGATCAGCCCTCTGGCTGCCAAGGAGTCAGGCGTGGAGGCTGAAGGCTGGGCTTCCAGGCAGGCGAGAGTAGAGGATGGCTGGGCTGCGGCAGGGCTGGGTGAGTGGAGAGGAGGAAAGGGCATCGGGGTACTGGACAGTCTCTGTGTCACAGTGAGGAGTTGGGGGCAGCAGATAAGGAAAAGTCGAGGCCAAGCACTCCTGTGCCTGGTCTGGGAAACAGGTGGGCAATGGGGAAGAGCAGGTTGGTATAGGGGACAGAGGCCGAGCTGTTTGGGATGAAGTCAGTCTATGATTGACTGACTGATTTCTGAGACAGGGTCTCATACGGAGTTCTTCAGCTTCAGCTCACCTCGTACTCACTATGTAGCCCATGCTGGCCTCAAGCACATGGCCATTCTCCTTCCAAGGCGTCTCCACCACACCCTGCTAGGGATGAGCTCAGTGTGAGGTGCCTGGCATGAGGGTTGGATGACCAGAAGGCAGGAGCATGCTGCACGCAGAAGAAGCTCCAGCCGAAGTTATGTCAGTCAGAGGGACCCAAACTGTCCCCAGGCACAGCAAGGGTGCCCTGGGCCGAGCATGAGGAGCACCGTGTCTGCAGGTCCGTGCTGTCAGTCCCAGAGTACATTGAGACACTGGGTCAGGATTGAAGGCTGGACTCTGCTGTGATCTACCCTGAACCCAGCTGCCTGCCCACTGGGTTCCTCAGCCCAGTTTCTGATGGGCCTGTTTCTATAGAGGAAAGGCAGAACGTCCCCAAGCTGGACATGTCCTCTCCCGGGACTGGGCTACAATCCCCTTCTGTAGGGAAAGGTGACCTATCAGGAGAGGGGATTCCTAGTGATCTGGGTCTGGCCTCACTGGGACTGCCTGGACGCAGATGTGACCTCTCACCCTCATCCTGCCAGGTGTCTTGAGTTGCTCCTATGAGGAAGCAGCCTCAGAGGACTGGGCCCTGACCCAATGGGCCCTGCACACTCTAGTGACAGTGCCCTGTGGTCAGGGCCTAGACAGTACTGCCCTGAGTAACTCTCCCATTACACAGATATGGACGATGAGGCCCAGAGAAGAAGTGGGCTAATCCAAGGCCATCTAGCACATCAGGACTTCAACCCAGGGACTTCTTCTGTGGCCCCAAGTTTTTCCATTGTTCTCCATCTCTCTTCACAGCTCTATCTCCAAGCTCCAGGTCCACGTGTCTAAGATAGCCAGTCTACCCAGCATCCTGTGGATAGTTTCCTGCTTGAAGGAAAGGGAGTGGCTTCAGACAAGCCTAAAAAGACACACGAGGCAGATTTCAGAAAGCATTTATTGAGCTGAATTCTATAGGAGGCAGAGGCAGGACACATGCAACCTCTAGTGTGTTAGACAAGAGGGCAGGAGACAGGCAGTTCCTATGAGAGAATGACTCAAAACAGAGCAGTCGGTTCTCAAGGCTGCCTCCTGCTGGTCCTTTGGGGAAATGCAGGAGGATATGGCTCTAAACTACTATGTCAGCCAGGCCTGACAGAGTCCCTTCTCTGATGCACTCTAACCCCTGCCTCTCATGCTACAAGAGACCCTTGTGGGGACCTTGATAAATGTGATTGCTCCTTATCAACTAAGCAGCAGCACCCTCTCGCCTTCTCAGCAAGGGGGCCTCGTCCCTAACTCTTAGAACATAGGAAACCTCTAGGATTATTCTTTTATTCCAAAGTGCCCCTCCGAACCCTGATGCTCTTCCATCCTGATCCAAGTTTTCCCTAGCCTTACTCAGGGGTTCCAGGTCTAAAATCACCCTGGTGATTGGAGAAGTCTACTCCTAACCCAAAATCACACTCTGTCGCTTACCTTTAGTAACATGCTGATATTCTTTCTTCCACACACATTGATCCATAGCCAATTCCAGCCACCCACCACTCTCACCCCTTCCAAGTATTCTGAAAGTGATATTCTGAACTTCTAGTGGACAGCACTAGCCAACGCTGGAGATTACAGAACTCTACTTTACTTCCCAGGTCCTCCGCTGGGAATCAGAAATAGCCACTAAGGTGGAAGGAACAGGCTAGGGCCTGCAGCCAGACTTCCCAACATCACTGGGTACCAGGCATGTGTTAGACCAGCATGTTGATGGGAAAGAGATGGATGGGCCAATGTCTGTTCTTCTGAGTGTGATATGGACACTGGGCTGGAGACTGAAACTAAAGAGAAGGGTGCTTCCCAGAAACGGGCAGAGTCCAGCCTAACCCTTAGCTCCCCAGGCAAGGTCATGGGCCCCTGAATTCAAGCCTACCAGACTCTTCACCACCATTCTTCCCCACTTCCTAATACCACGGAGCACATTTCAGCACTGGAAAAGCCCTCAGTGATCATCTCGGCCAACGGCATCCCTGCTGGACTCTAATATGCATCCTGGCCATGGCTTGCATACTGTCTCTAACAAGGAATGCTTTGCCTCCCTCTTTCCAAATAGGCAACGCCTCACTGAGGCCAAGCAGGCAAGGCCACAGGGAGTGAGTTCAGTATCTCTTCTTCCTTCCCTCAGCTTTGAACCTAGAGCATGTCATGAATGGGCCCAGAAGGGACCGATTTGTTGAAGACCCAAATCTAAGCCCGGGGAAAATCACTGCTTTACGGGATGAGCTCGGGTAGGAAAGGCAGCAAAGGCAGCATGACAGGGCCTGGGGACAACCTTCCTGCCCCTTCTTTCCATGGTGGCCAGCAAGGCACCTTGAACTGGCCTGGGGAATCTCTCTAAAGGTCACTGGGTAAAAATAGATCTTCTCTGAGAAGGGATGGAAAACAGCTGCTCCTGCCTAGGACTGGGTGCCAGGGAGCAGGAGAGTCAAGCCAGGGACTGGACACGGGACATGGCTTAAATACTGACTGCTCATTTGCCAGAATCCGGAGTGCAGAGCAGGAAGGAGAGGTTATGGAACACGGGACGCAGCACCCCAAGGGGCTGTATGCACGGCTGCCTCCTTTAAGGCACGAGTGTGTGTGCTGGTGGCAAGATTTACACGCTTGCAGACAGCATTGTCCAAGGCCACATTAAAAGGATGCGAAAGCCGCGGGTCCCGTGGAGGCAGAGTCCTGCCACAGTCCCACAAGGAAAGTAAAGCACGGGCTAGAACTCAAGCTCGGGGTCCTACTCCTTCCCAAGCCCAGAGCTCCCCTTCTTTGGCCTCTTATGTCTGACGCTATCTAGAGAGGTCACACCCCTAGGTGACAAAGGCTGGATCCCCAAAGCCTGGGGCCTCATCCTTTGGATCGGCCGTGCTGGTGGGGTGGCGGCTTTAGGAGGTGCACGAGGCCTCGGTGGGGAGGCTGCCACGCTTGAGACGCAGGCTGCCGCTCCACCCGCGGGGACAGATGTTGTAGCCAAGGATGCCAGGCGACTTGACCCCGGAGTCTTCGGAGTCCAGGGACACGTCGGAGTCCGTGGGCGAGCGGCGGTAGGGCAGAGGCCTAGGTGGCGCAGGAAGCGGGCTGCGGGGCCCGACGTAGGACGCGGGCGCTGCCTGCTGCGACGTGCGCTGCGCCGGCCCGGACGCCGCCACGCGGGACGCGCCCGGCCCGGGGTGCACGGGCTGCGGCGAGCGCATGCGCGGTGGTGGCGGCGGCGGCGGCGCCCCTGGCGGGGAGAAGGGCCGTAGACTCTCGGCGCCCGCCGGCCGCGGGGAGGCGCTCTTGCGCCGGGCCGCGTTGATGATGTTCCGCGCCAGGAGCGCCTGCAGCTGACGGCTGGGGGGACGCACCTCGATCTCGGGTCGTAGCGGCGACACGGAGCGCTCGCTCCAAGAGGGGGACATAGGCGGCGGCGGCGGCAGTGGCGGGGGGCTGCTCATGTTGCTCCCACGCCCCGGCTCCCACGGCCCCGGGCTCACCCAGCCGTCTAGGCTGCTGGGGGGCCGAGACACGGCGGGCGTCCAGGGCGGGGAGGTGGGTAGGCTCTCCGGGCGGTCCTGGGGAAAGAGCAGAGGTGGGGCCGGACGTGAGTGAGTGTTGTGCTTCACTGAAAACAGGGGTTTTCCTGGAATTCTCAGTGACCCTCCTGCCTCAGCTTCTGGAGTGCTGGGATTATGGACGTGTGCTACAATGCCTGGTATGAAACAAGGTATTGGAAGGGACAGACCAAAGTCAGGTGGACCCAGCTCTCAGGTTAAAGAGTCCATGCTACTCAGTGTCAGCTCCTGTGTTGAATGGGGAGGCAGATAGATGGCCAGAAATTGAGAATGCACACTTTGAAGACAGATTTAATTTTCTGGGTGAACTGGGCAAGTTGTTTCCTTCCTCTGGGCTATAGTTTTCTCCTACACAAAATGGGTGAGCTATAGGATGGGGGGCGCTAGAGATTAACTCATGGAAAAACATGCAGTGTGTTCTTGCATATTCTGTGGAGGAAGGCTGTACAATATATGTTAAGAGTTAATGGAATGATAAATATAAAACTAATCAAAGTAGTTACCTGTTAGGAAATCAGGCAGAGACAGGGCACACAGCCACAGGAGATGGGATCAGGCTTTTTAAGGTATTACTTTATGTTTAGATTTTTGAACCATAGGGATGTATTATCTTCCATAAGTTTGAATGTAAGGATTTTAAACTATTACTGTTAAAGTTGGTCTTAGTGAAGGACTCTCTCAGCCCCAAACCCCTTGCTATATTGCCATCAGCCTCTTATTTTCCCACGGATTCCTGAGAGGAGGAAGTTCCTGCTGACCCGGAAACACAGAGGTAGGTGGGTCACTCTTACCAGCTAGCTCACTCTTTCGGGTTGTGAGTTCCTGCCCTGCCGTGCACTGCCGTACATACAGGTGAGGCACTGTGCCACTCATTTTACTGTTGATGAAAATGAAGCTCCGAGGTGTGAATAACAACCCAGTGTATTGTGCTGCATGAGGGCATGTGTATACATAACTATCTTCTTCTCAAAAACTCTACCAGTTTTAACTTGTTTGAAAGTGTAGGACTTGGGAATCCATATTTAGTATGTATCTTCTAAGCCATCCAACTATTGATTCAGTCAAATTCCATCCAGTCTACTTGGGTACCCAATCCAACCCAAGTTCACCAGTAGTCACTCATCCATCAGAGTCCTGAATTAGCACCTCCATTCAGTGCCCCCTACCCAATCAAAATCTGGAACCATCAACAAGATCCATTCTTTCATCCAATCAGCAATCAGCCTTAGCCAACCAGTCATTCTTTTCAACCAGTTGAAAATCTAGTTCATCTCAATCAAAAGGAAGATTGTATGTATTCTCCAAACAGAATCCTGCAGCTACTAGATGAGGGCTTTTTAACCTAAAGAGGAATGCTAAGCAACTTAATCAACAGGAAACTTGTCATGGGATGGTAATGCTGCAATGACTTCCAAGGGACATGGTCAGTCATCAAGGGGGGAGGTTAAGGCATAGTATGAGACCTCTCTTACTGTCAGGGTCAGAGCTGTGTATGAGTCAGAGACACCAAGTGTTTCTCTGTGTCTGTGATGCATCCCAGGAAGCTTGCAATCAGGTCACTGTGGGTGACAAACCCTGGGACTGAGAGAGAGGAGATTGGGAAGGAGGTTCCAGCCCCATGAGGAGCCAGGAAGGCCTAGAAGGTAACACCAGAATTTCAGGACTAAATGCCAAATCAGGGACACTCAGGCATATCCCAATACCTGGCAAAAGTGCTACTCTTAGAGGGCAGGAGGGGACTGACCCAAGTCAGTCAACAGACATAGAAGCAGAGAAGCCAGTGCTCTTCATGGGGAGCTACAGTATCTAAAACTCTTAACAGGTTGTTTCTGCCTTCATGCTACAAGGGGATTGCTGGGTCCAGCCATGGAAAGAGCAATAGAGTTCAGCCAGGACTACAGCCTGGAATGGCTCGGTCATGGGTTGGAATGTTGGGGGCAGTGGTAAGCAGCTCCTCACCATTTGGAGATGGGCCAGAGCCTGACCTCATACTGACTGCCATGTCCGGGAACTGAGAGAATTGGCGGGGGGCAGAGCAGTACACAATACAAAGAGGCTACAGGAAATCAGAAATATTCACTTTCTGCCAGAGGGCTCACAGCCTGTACTACTAGACTCCTTGGAAATGCAGGGGGTCCAGATTTAGAAAGCAATGCCCAATCAGCCCAGCCTGAGGCCCTAGGAGAGCAGAGACAGCAGGGACTCAGAATCAAGCAGCTCTCTGACCATCTTCAGCAAGCCTGACTTTGCACAGAAGGGAAACTGAGGCACCAGACAGGAAGAGGTTGTGCAAGGTTGTACAGGAACCATTTTCCAATCTGGCAGCACATTCCTCTCCACCTGGTGTGGACATTATGGTGCCTTTGGGAGCCAGGTAGTGATGGTGATCAATGTGGGAAATAGCCAAGTTTCAGTAGTGGGGGAACAGGAGACCATAGGAAGCTGGATAGTGCTGATCTGGTAAAACGCCTTGCAACTCCATTTTTAAAGAACTGAAAAAAATCATGGACCCGGGAGAGACGGTGTTTCTCCCCACATTCCACAGCTCTTTGGGCCAGCCTCTGGGGAAAGGGAAGATAGGTGATTTGCATAGGGTTCAGCTGCCCGAAAGGCTGACCTAGGAGGGTGCCCCCACCTCCAGAGCCCTCCAGGCCTTCTCCCCTGCTCCTACAGATCCACACACAGCAGTGCAGCACATGCGCACACAGCACATCAGTCCACGGTTTCACCTCCACACACAGTAGCCCCACTCCACGTCCCAGGCCAGCCCAGGGAGCAGGGAGGAAGCTCTGACCCATGGCAGGCAGCAGCAGCAGTACAGAAAAAAAGAAAGAAGCGAGATGGATTTGAGGCAGAGTATATTGAGAACAGGACAGAAAACGAAGTCAGGGGAAGAGCTCAGCCTGGCAGTAGGAGCTGCCCAATGGAGTGGGCTTTTCCACAGCCAGCCCCCTCCGGGGCCCAGGGGAACAGGAGACGCAGGGCCGTGGCAGTGCTCTGGGAGGGGCCTGGCAGGTGCTGAGCTCCCTCATAGCTGCCCCTCCAGCCCTCATTCTGATGTGTGGAATGAGCTCACTGAGCAAGCACCCCTGTTCCCATGGAGACAAGCTGGAGCTCAGGAAAGCTGCAGGCTCAGCCCAGCATGGGCACCACCTCCACCACCCTTTACTCCTCTGGGGAGCACAGAAATAAGGCTGGGAAAGAGGAAGTGGGTGGCCCTCAGCCCCCAGCCTTGGGAAGCTTCCATCAGAACCCTGCCTCTTTCGTCTGTGTTCTCTCAACATCCCACAAAGCTTGCTTCTGAGGGGGTACATCACATCGGAGGAGGAGCAGAAGATCCTCCCTGTATGGATGGGAAAATTAAGTCCCAAAGATAGGCATGAAATCAGCCTTCCTGAATCCAGGCGCAAGCCCCAGACATAGACTTTAGGGTCTTCCATGTCCCTTCCCTCCGAGCTGCTGTGTGTGCACCTGCTCCTGGGCACCTGCTCTGACACTCATCACATCCCTGTCTCCAAGAGTCCTGAGCTGCAGCCCACCCCAGCTTGCATTTGGATCCTTGGCCTCCTGCAGCAGCTCATTCTAACCACAACCTACAGTCCCCCACACCCCAGGCAGCTAACTGTCCTTCTTCAAAAGCCCATTTTGTTTTCTGTCTTTTCCCGGGGACCTTTTTCACCTACGAAGCCTTTTTCCCAAAGTACCAGTCTAACTGCTTGGTCTTCATGGATCATCTCAGCTAGAAGCGCTTTTTGTAAAAATGTGAGAGTGACCCAGAGAAGTGGCCAAGCTCACCCAGCAAACGGAAAGCACAGAGGGGACCAAGCTCTCTACTCGCCTCTCTCCCTGGGCATCTCCCCCACAGCACTGAGGTGGATTCCTTTAGTCAGGGAGCTCTTAACTGAGGTTAAAGCCAGAACATCTTGGGGATACCTCCTAGAGTCACCCCCAACTCCCGCAGCCCTTCTCAGGGTTCTCCTCTCAAGGATCCCCGGGATCCCCCACCCCCAGTCGGTGAAGGCAAGCTAGCTGGAAGCAGGACTGGGGTTGTGCGGGGGCCCAGGAGCCCGTTAGGTGCAGCCAGCTCCTGGAGAGGGTGTGGAGGAGGGGCGGGAAGAAGAGCATCAGACAGCAGCGGGCTGAGTCCGAATCCACAGAAGGACCCAGGAGAGGAGCAAAGGTGGAGGCAGCTGAAGCTCTCTGAAGTGGCAGAGAAGAGTCGGTGTCCAGGAGGCAGAAGAGGAAGAGACAGGCCCGCAGAGATGAGAATCCAGCAACGAGAGGAAAGATGCCAGGAGCGTGTGAGGACGTGCCATGGGCAGCGGGGAGGCAGACCCCCGGCTGAAGAAGTCCACAGCCACTGGCAGGCTCTGTCTGCTCCAGAGGTCCCATCAGAGCCCCTTCCTAACCCTGTCATCCCCCAGCAAGACGCTGGCCTCAGATGCTGCCATTCCTGCCTCTCACCAAGGCCAAAGGACGCCCTTCCGCCTTTCAGGAGAGTTCTCACTCCGTGACCCTCTGCCCACACACGGTGCCCAGACCCCTCGAGGTAGGAAGAGGCCTGCTGCACCTCCAAGCGGGCAGGAGACTCGCCCTGGTCCACGCAGCAGTGGCAGTGGTAGTGCCCGGGCCGTGGATGCCCCATTCTCCTCCACAAGCCCTGTGCTGCTTCCTGACCGGTCTGCTCTTTGTGGCCTTTGGAGAAGGGGCCTGGACCGACAGTGGGACCCCATGGGAAGATGGTTATTTGAAGCAGAAGGAAGGCTTCCACACCTGAGCCTCAATCCCCGCGTTCCGGGTAGAGAAGGAGGGCCTGGGGGCCTGCTTGGCTCGAGGAGACCATGCCCTGGAGGGAGACACCGGGGAGACGTCACTGCTATAGGTGGGGCTCACGGTAGTGGGCTGGAGGCCGTCCTGGCCTGGCGAGGTGTAGAGGCCGGGCGAGGAGCGGGAGGGCCGGGGCAGGGCAGGAGATGGCGGGAGCCCGGCCTTGGGCAGGTTGGGCACCAGGTCCAGGGAGCTAGGCTTGGCAGGGGAGGCGGCTCGTGGGGAGGCCACTCGGGCTGAGGCCACTCGGGACGAGGCTGCTCGGGGCGCTCTGGCTGAGGTCTTGCTGGGCTCCTTGATGGGCGAGAGGACAAAGAGTGAGGGCCGCATCTGGTATGGCTGCTGCTTCGTGGGCTCGGGGCGCAGGACGCCGTTCTCAGGCAGGTAGCCGTGGTACAGGGAGGCAGGTGGGGTCCGAGCAGGGCTTAGGGATGCCACGCGGAAGGCCCCGGGAGCACTGGTGGAGTATTTCCAGGAGGAAGGCAGAGACATGGTGGGTGAAGGGCAGCGGGCCAGCTCTGCGTGGCCTGCAGACTCGATGACATATTTCTCCATCCGTGACTGGCGTCGGGCATAGAGCTCGGCTCCCTTTCCGGAGGCCTCAGAGAGGTTCTGATTGGGTTTGGGCTTTGGCTTGGCCTGGATTCGAGGTGATTTGAGGCAGGAGGCCCACTCGGGAACCGTGTCCTCAGCCACCCCGGGGCCACTCCTGTCCCGAGAGCCTGACTCCTGCTGGAAGTTGGAGGCCTCTGCCCCCAGTGCAAAGGGCTCCTCCTCTGCACCCATGTCCGCCTGGTCCCTCTGCCTCCGCTTCTCATCAGCCGTCTGTACCAGGTCCAGCAGGTCTGGGTTTGGGGTCACCTTGGGCTTCTCCACAAAGGTGAACATGGATTTCCGGCTGCCCCGGCGGGCCATGGACTCCTCTAAAATGCCTGTCTTGCTGGTGGGAACTACCTGGCCCTTCAGATGAGAAGGCTTGGTGTCAGAGCTGGGGTACAGGGCAGAGTAAGAAGGGGGAGACCGAACCCGGGAAGCCAGGGGCGTCGTGGACAAGGTCTCTGCATAGGTGGGGGGTGGGGTAAAGTTTCCCAAGGGCCGTCTCTCCAGGGCTGGGCTTCGCTGCCCCACCAGCCTCCTCTCCACCATAGGGCTGTGGGATATCACATGTCTCTGAGGCCGGGGACTCCTGTCTACCATGGTGGGGGGCTGGGGAGCCGGGGCTTTCTCCCCAAGGTATCGCCTCTCCACCATGGGACTCCGCTCCACCTGGCTGGTGCTCCCTGCCGCCTGGATCCCAAAAGGCCTGGCCGTCCTGTTGATCACTGACAGAGGCTTGGCCAGTGTGAAGTGGAGCTCACTGTACATCTTGGTGGGCGTGGTGGCAGGTGCCTGCCCAGACATCTCAGGCTCTGCTGACATCACTAGGGTGCTGGGTTGGGCGTCGATGAGCAAGGAGCTGGACGTGAAATCTGGACCCAGAGGCTCGGAGCAGGCAACGGGAGCAGCTTCTCTGCAGAAGGTGCTGGTGGTAGTGGCTGGAGTCGATACCTTATCAATTAGGAGTACACTGGACATCACCTCCTCCACTGGCGTCTGCGATGGCCCATCAGCACACAGGATGCTGGATCCAGACTCCGGTGTTGTGCCATTTGCTGTGTGCTGTGCCGTGGGAGAATTCTGCTGGACCCCAGAAAGCACTGTGCTCTGTGTGCTGGCAGATACGGGGATGTTCTGATTGATGTCTGTGGCTGGTGGGTTGCAGCTGCTGTTAGAAGCTGGTGTGGCGAGTGTGGTGCTGGGTGAGGACAGGTTCTCGTTCACATCTGCAGGGGGACTGTGGATCTCAGCTGAAGGAGGGGTTGCTGGGGATTCCTGGGCCTCTCGGTTCTGAGACAGGTGGAGCCCATTGGCTGTAAGCAGGGCTGCATTCTCCTTTAAATAGACCACCAGAGGCACCTCTTCCTCCTCACTGGACCCCTCCAGATGCCGCAGCAAGCTGGCCTCGTCGGAGTACCCCTCCATGCTGCAGCCAGGGAGCCCTCGCCTGGGGCTCTGGGGACTGGAGTGCCTTGGAGGGCCTGGCTTGGATGGCGCAGGTGAACTCAGGTGGAGCCCTGGTGCATGGCCTGGGGGGCTCACAGGGGGCACCCTGAGGGACTCCTGGCTGGGCTTTGGACCCCTCTGACCGTGGCTCTCCCAGGTGAACTCGTTCACCCTCTGCCGGCGCCGGTTGAAGAGCTGGACGCCCCTCGAGCTGGAGCTGGGAGGGGTGGTCAGCTGGGCTGCGATCTGCTGGCTCCGCGCCTTGGCCTCCTTCAGGTCCTTTTCAGTGAGGCTGGGGCTCCGGCCCAAGGCTGCAGGGAGGGACAGAGGCCCAGTTAACAAGCAGGAATGCAGAGCCACAGGGCAGTGCAGACACACAGATGGTCATCGTGCCCTCCTACACATGACCTTTTGCTTTGGAATTTGATCTTTCCTGTTGCCTAGAATTCACTCTCATAACCTGACCCACCCTTCATAGACTAATTTAAATGCCATCATGAAACCTTCTCTGATTATCTCTCCAGGATTAACTGGGCTCTTACTTGGGCTGCCCCTGGAGGTTGTTGATACAGCACTTCCCCAAATGAGACCTAACTCCTTGTCCTGGAAACCAAGGACCTGCGAGCCCCTTACCTGTCTCCCATCACTGTTCTCCCTCTCCCGAGACTCTGCCTCACTGGCTTTCTTCTGTCCCTTAAAAATACCTAGTGGGAGTGGCCCCAGGCCCTTTGTATTTGTTCCTGTAGCTTGAACAATCATTTCCCAGTTGGCATTACAGGTCAGTTCCCTCTTGGGAACTGACTCAGGTCTTAGTCTGAATGTCTGTCCTCCCCTGACTGATTTTCTTCTTTCTTCCTTTCTCTTTCTTTCTTTTTCATAGCAGTCACCACAACTTGAAATGATCTCCTTCATGTGCTTCCTTGTTTATTACCTGTCTGTTCACCTAGCATAGCTCTAAGGAGACAAGGGCTTTGAGGGACTTGTCACTCTATCCTTGGCCATTAGCATAGTGCCAGGCGTAACATCCACCCCTGGTGACCACTGCAACATTTTCTATGTGCCTTTTTTAGGCTTCTTTCCACTCTCAAACTTGTACTAGTAAATTGCTTTAATGTTATAAAGCATTGCCCCTGGCAATATTTCTTTTGAGAACAGGCAATACATTCACATTTTATTTATAAAAATAAAAATATAAAAAGCTATGTATTCCCTTCAGCCCTGATCGCCGCACATCCCAATCAGCAAGTCACCACGTGTTCACTTTCTTTATGTGCCTCCAGCATTTCTTCCCATAGCTACTTAAAACAGTCATTGATGAATCCACACATTTTAACCCCAGAAAAGTAATCAGTTGGGCTACTTTCAGGAGTGACTATAGCAGAGCATTGCATGCTTTCATTCTGTCCTCCCCAGAAGTCTATGACACAAAGCATTACCTGTCTCTGTTTTAAAGAAGAAACTGAGGTGCAGCAGATTGTAAGCAACTGACCCAAGATCACACAGCTGAGGATGGCAAGGCCGGTGTCAGTCCACAGTCTGCATTCAGGGTCCCTTTGGGCAGTAGGAGTGGGGAGACGGTCAGCTGCGGGTCGGGCCCAGGCCCCTGCTAAGCTTACTGTAGGCAGCCATGTCTCTTTCCAGCCCCAGTGCACTGCAGGGACCCGCTCAGCACTCCACTTAGGCTTGTTGGGCAATGAATGAGCAAATGGCTGTGAGAACAAATGAACTGACCCGTGGATGGATCAGCCTGTGGCCAGCCTCTGGAGCTCAGTCAGAAGCTGAGCGAATTCCTCCCTTCATCATCCCTGGCCCCCTGCTGCGAGAAGCTAATTAGTTCTTGAGGAATCTGACCCTGCCCTCCCTCCTGCTCTGCCCTCATTAGTGTTGGCCGTGACATGCCGAGTGGGTCTCCAGGGAGAGTCTTTCTAGGCAGTCTGCCAGCCAGCCTCAGGATTCCTCGACTCTCAGGGCTGGAAGGTCCCTTCTAGAGGAGCTATTTCACTACTACCCCCATTTCTAGATGTGGAAACTGAGGTCCAGAGGGTAACCCAAGGTAGAGTCTGTTGACCTCCAAGCCAGCGTCAGCAGGAAGATTGACAGAGGACAGATGACAGCGTCACTGGTTCAGGCCACACAGTCATAGGTTTTCTATTCCCAACCTCCTCTTCCCTTCTTTCCACCAACACCTGACTTCCCCCAGCCTGTTTAAAACAGTGAAAGTACACAGCCCACTTCACCTGCTCAGGACTGGCTCACCCCATCTATAAAAGGAAACAGGTGATCCAGGCTGCTTCTCTAGAAGAACCCAAAAGTGGAGGGTCATTAGCAACACAGAAGATCTCTGAGAGGTTTTTCAGCCTATACACTGTCCATTTCTTCTGCCCTCCTTAAAAGCCAGGCCTCACACTTGTAATCAGAAGTGTACTTAGAAGGCTGAGGCAGGAGGATCTCCATGAATTCAAGGCCAGCCTGCACTACATGGTAAATTCAAAGCCAGCCTAGAACATACAGCCAGATCCTATCTCAAAAAACAAGTGAACAAACAAAAAAAGCCCAAGTCTCCTGGCCCAAATCTAAGCTCTGCCATTTGCTCGTTGTGTGACTCTGGCAAGGTACTGCACCTCTCAGAGACACTGCCTTGCTAATGAGGAGGGAAAAGCACCTGATGTGGGAACTGGGAGGGGACAGTGAGAGCACCCATGCCAGGGGGCACCAGCTACAAGCCCGGGGTACATGGCAGAGGTCTTAATCTACCCTGGGAAGTGGCAACTGGCAGCCCCACTGTACGCCCTAGAAGAGGACAGAGATTGATACCACAGGTCAGGACCCTGGAGTTCATACAGCCCCATATTACAGAATCCCGGAATCTCAGAGCCGATCACCACTAGGTCCAACTCCCCACACAATTCCACATCTCCAGAACCATGTGCCAAGTGTACAAGCTCCCGTTTACTGCACAGATGTGAGTGCTCTACCTGCCAAAGTGTGTCCAGGTAGATATCACTCAGCTGCAAAGCTGCTCCTTCTGTTGATTCCACTTGATGTGGTTCTGCCCAGCACAGCTACACAGAATAATAGCTTTCTCCTTCCAGCCAGACCACCCTGCAGCCGTTCCCATAGGACTCGAGACAATCATCCCCAGTCCCCACAATGTACACGACTGCAGCAATGTACCCAACACTGACTGGGCACTTACTGTGCACACGTGCCCAAAAGGAACAGTCTATTATTATGCACATTTTTAGCCACTCGTTTACTTACTTTCACATGGGGTCTCTGGATTGCCCGCGCTGGTCCTGAACCCTGGGCTTGAGTGATCTCCTGCCTCTGTCTCCCTAGTACTGGGAATGAAGACATCTGGCTTAATGCATAATTTATTGAGGAGAAAACCAAGGATCTGTAAGACATGATGAGCTGACCAACGTCCCAGGGGAGCTGGTCCACACTTGGTTCTCCACCATGCCGAGGACGTAGGCCCTGCCTGGTGCGTCCCCACAGTGTGAGTGTCTCGCACAATGCATCTGTGTTTGAATATTCCAGACCCCTCAACATCCCTGCATTTTCCAGCATTTTTTCCTAATTTTTCTGCTTCAATCCCATCTCTAGGCTGACTCTCAAAGGCCACGGATTTGGAAAACCCTTAAATGCCAGAGTGTGAAGAGCCCTTAGAGAAAAAGGGAGAAAGGGGGTCACAAGGAGGGCATGGCCCTGCAGCCAGGTGTGCTGACACCAGCTGGCTCTGCTCGCTCGCAGCCTGAACTGTGACCTCCCCACCTCCCAGGGCCTGGACAGTCTGGCCTGTGCTACTGTGCTAAGCTGAGGAGTGACAGCAAAGGCCAGAAGGCCATGAGCTCTGCACCCCCATCCCAGACAGCAGTGACTCCACAGAAAAGGAATTCAGCGGGAGCTCTGGACCAGACCCAGCCCACAGTCCCCATGATTTCTGCCACCCTGCAAACAAAGCGGGCAGGGGGAGGGGCAGCCAGCCCATAACAGGGCGCCAGGGACAGCTCCATCTAAAACTCCCTGAGGAAACTGCTGTCTCTGGTAGGGGCCAGCTGGCCTAAGGAGTGCTATGTGTTGTCACAGACAGGAGGAAGCTACAGGCCACAGGGGACAGGCACCTCGGTGAACACTCAATCTGCCGAGCTGTGGCCTGCCTGTACCTGTGCATCCCCTTTAACCCCAGTGCAGGGCCTTGAGGGATGCCAGCCCTGTAAAATCCCCCTGGAACCTGGGTCAGCAGCCCTGCAGATGGACATCCCAGAGAGAACAGAGTGGAGTAAGACAAGGAAGAGCTGCTTGGGGTTGGGAGGCTGCAGCCCAGCGGATGCAGGATGGGGAAGGGGAGAGCACGAAGCCTCTGGCAGGAGGGCACCTTGCTGCGGTTACCGCCTTGCAGGCCGCACAGCCCTGGCACAGCCCTCGGCTGCACGTTGTTAGTCATCATCCTGTTCCTGCTAGCAACCCCAAGAAATAGATGCTGTTGCTTCTTCCATTTTCTGCATGAAACTCAGGCCCAGAGATGCACACTCAGGATCACACAATCTGCAAGTGGCACAGCTACGATTCAAAAGCTAGAAAGTCTGGCTTCGAAATCTCATCTCTTAACCACACCACTTTCCAGACAGGGGCTCAAGAAAAGGCACAGGGCTCCTGCACTGCTGTCTGCAGAGCCCTCTGTCCTAGAAACTCAGCCACCTAGGACAAGACAACTCACACTTTCTCTTCAGTCTTCCTACCAGAATAATAACTGATAAACTAATTCTTACTACGTTAGAAAAGGCCAATAGGGTATTAAAGATAAGTGGAGTGGAAAGATCATGAGGTTGGGAGTCAGGAGGTCCCTAACATTAGCTTTGCTCAGGCAGCAGGCACAAGGCCTCTTCCCAATCCCTATCATCCTCTGCAGGCCGCTGCAGCTTCCACCCTCACTGGGCTTGCCTGGATCAAGAATCCAAAGGAGGGAAGTGAGGCAGGACAAGAGTGGCCAGAGCAGAAGGTCAGGACAGGGAGAATTCAAGGAAATGCTTCTTCACACGCCTGCTGTCAATGGGAGTGTTCGGCCTGGGTCCAGTGGGGTGGGACAGGCAGCCAGAGATAGGCGCCCATTGTGGTTTCCCAGGAGTCCTGGCAACGGGCTAGGTAAACTGCCCTGGGTGGGGGGCAGGAAGGAACCAAGGGCTGATGGCTGGACAAGCTCTGGCTTAACCAGCGCAGGGAGACAAAGCGCTCTGAGCAATGCCTACCTGCCTTGCCAGCCCCTGCCTCGCATCCTCCCCAGAAAGGGAGGAAATGACACAGCCTGGGG